CTATTCTATTCTATTCTATTCTATTCTATTCTATTCTATTCTATTCTGTGTGCACGCTCCAGTTTTGGCACTCAGTGCCGAAAAGATTAGCCGTCACTGCCTTAGTTCTTTGGGATTCTCAGTCAGCCTGTTGGTTGTCCATGATCACCTATTACAGCTTACAACAGTTTGCTTAGTGACCATTCAAAGTTACAACGGGACCGAAAAAAGTGACTGACGACCATTTTTCACTTTATGACTGTTTCAGCATCCCCAAGGTCACGTGATTTATATTCGGATGCTTGGCAACCAACTCATATTTATGACGGTTGCAGTGTCCTGGGGTCCTACGATCCCCTTTTGCGACCTTCTGACAAGCAAAGTCAATGGAGGAAACCAAATTCATTGAACAACTGTGTTACTAAGTTAACAACTGCAGTGATTCACTTAACAAATATTACGTGAAGAAAAATGGGGCAAAACACACTTACCAAATTTCTCACTTAGCAACATAAATTTGGGGCTCACTTGTGGTCATAAGTTGAGGACTACCTATATACAACACCACCTATCTCCTGTATATAACACACTCCTTTTAGCAATACCTAGAAGACCCCAGACCCATTTGCACTCTGTTAAGTGGCCTCAATGACAGCTAACTACCAAACTTCAGAGTGCTAATGACTGCAAAGGATATAAATCATTCCATCCCGCACCATTCAGCCAGAAATGAAGAAGCTTCTTGGATGAGAAGCGAAACGTCTTCAAGGAAAAAAAAAAAATAAGAAAGCCCACTTCAAAAGTTACCTGTTGAATAGCACCAAAAAACCTCCAAACAGCTGGCTTATTGATTAGAGTTTAATATGTCTACAGGAGTAGCCAAAATTGTGGAAACCTTTTGGGAAAAGTGTTTTTTTTGGGGGGGGGGGAGTTTCATATTCCACTGCTGGAATGGCCTGGGAATAGCCCAGACCTTAACCCAATTGAAAATCAATGGAGCCGACTAAAGACAGTTGTTAGTCAGAAGCGACCCAGCAATAAAACCCAGTTAATAGAAGCCATCATTCAATCTTGGTTTCACATGATAACAGCTGCAGAACTAAAAGGCTTGGTCCACTCCATGGGAAGACGTTGTAAGGCCATAATTCATGCTAAAGGTTACCCAGCTAAGGATTAACTGACATGGGGATAATTTTTGTATATCTCATTTTTTTCTACATGTTTCAATTTTCTTCTTTAAATTGTAACTGCTATTCTAATAGCAAATCTTTCATAAAAGTTATTGCATTACATTCTTTATTACCTTTCCATTGATATATAATTTTATGGTACTACTGCCCCCCAAAAGTGGCGTTATTAGCTAGTTTTAGAAAATACACTTTTCCCAAAAGGTTGCCACAATTTTGGCCACTATTGTAACCTCAATATTCTTTCAGTGTGTGGACCTTATCCAGCATAACCGTCACATTTCTGCCTTCCTGTGTTGTTCCAGAATCCACATCTCGGTGCAAATTCCACACCAGGATGGGATGCTCCCCCTGATTTCCACCAGACCTCTGCACAACTTGCATTTCCTATTGTCAGAATCCATTTATAGGCACCAACACGTCTGTTCCAATATAGTCAGCATCCAAGATCTTAAAGGCATCTCGGGTAAGACGTTCGTCTTCAAAACAGTGTATAATCCTGGTCTTGCAGAAGAAACTGGTACATTTGAGTGCATTTTTATTTTTATTTTAAAAACCCTGCAGTGTTCTTCCTTGTCCCACCTGTCATTGTTAAATGACTGTAAGATAGCCTATCTAATTACTTGGAGCTTGGTAATAATACACCAAGAGCAATAAAAGAGAAATAGCAGTTAGTCAATCAACAGCTGCAACGTTCTGTAAAATTAGATGCTCTAATATTCTGTGTGTCCAATGATCAGTTTAGATCTGGGTCTGGAAACAGCTGCTGCTCGCTTGTTTATTTGTCACAGAGCTGTCAAAATCCTCAATATTTTGTTACTTTGCTGTTACCATCACTTTATATAATGCCTTAGTAAGACCACGCTTGGAATATTGCATCCAATTTTGGTCACCATAATAAAAAAGATGTTGAGACTCTAGAAAGAGTGCAGAGAAGAGCAACAAAGACAATTAGGATAAAAGGTAAAGGTTCCCCTCGCACATATGTGCTAGTCGTTCTCGACTCTAGGGGGCGGTGCTCATCTCCGTTTCAAAGCCGAAGAGCCAGCGCTGTCCGAAGACGTCTCCGTGGTCATGTGGCCGGCATGACTAAACGCCAAAGGTACACGGAACGCTGTTACTTTCCCACCAAAGGTGGTCTCTATTTTTCTACTTGCTTTTTTTACGTGCTTTCAAACTGCTAGGTTGGCAGAAGCTGGGACAAGTAACAGGACCTCACCCCGTTATGCGGCACTAGGGATTTGAACCGCTGACCTGCCAACCTTTCGATCGACAAGCTCAGCGTCTTAGCTGCTGAGCCACTGCGTCCCCATGATTAGGGTACTGGAGGTTAAAACATATGTATGTCTAGTGAAAAGAAGGACTAGGGGTGACATGATAGAAGTGTTCCAATATCTAAGGGTTACCACAGTGAAAAGGGAGTCAACCTATTCTCCAAAGCATGTGAAGGCAGGACAAGAAGCAATGGATGGAAACTAATCAAGGAGAAAATCAATGTAGAACTAAGGAGAAATTTCTTGACAGTGAGGACAATGAATCAGTGGAACAACTTGCCTCCAGAAGTTGTGAATGCTCCAACACTGGAAGTTTTAAAGAGGATGTTGGATAACCATTTGTCAGGAATGGTATAGGGCAGGGGTCTCCAACCTTGGCAACCTTACGACCTGTGGACTTCAAGTCCCAGAATTCCTCATCCAGCATGCACTGGCTGAGGAATTTTGGGAGTTGAAGTCCACAAGTCATAAAGTTGCCAAGGTTGGAGATCGCTGGTATAGGGTTTCCTGCTTGAGCTGAAGGTTGGACTAGAGAACCTCCAAGTTCTGTTATATATCCCAGGAATTCTAGGTTCAGCGTGGCTAAAGTATTATTGAAATTTTGCTCTGCATTTCTTTACTTCCAACCCAGAAGCTGGATTTCTAGATGAAGTGATGTACAATAATATCGTTCTGGGCCCTGGATATGACCGGCCATACCAGTTTGATCCCAGCGTGAGAGAACCAAAGACTATCCAGTTCTACAAACACTTGAACCTGAAGAGCTGCATTTGGACATTTGACGCATACTATGACATGACAGAGTTAATTGATGTCTGTGGAGGATCCGTCACTGCAGACTTCCAGGTAATGCTTTTTATACGGGATACACAGAAATGACACTGGCATGTTGGTTCCTAGCGTAAATTCACCTGAAGTATCATAGAATGTGACTGGAGGTTAAAACATATAAAGGACGGTTGCTGGAATTGGGTAGGTCTACTTTAACTATTATTATTATTATTATTATTATTATTATTATTATTATTATTATTATTATTATTTTATTTCTATACCGCCCTTTTCCTGCGGGACTCAGGGCGGTGTACAGCCAAGATAAAACATTGCAGATAAAATTTAAAAACAATTTTAAAAAACAATTAAATAATTTCGGCCCAAAATATTAAAAACAGCCCAATTAAAACCAAATTCTATTAAAACTGAGAGGATGGGATCAAGCCAGCCCAGCTAGATGGAATAGGTGTGTTTTCAGGGCCCGACGAAAAGTCCGGAGGTCTGATATCGTGCGTATCTCAGGGGGTAGGTCATTCCAGAGGGCAGGTGCTGCCACAGAGAAGGGTCTCCCCCTGGGGGTCGCCAGCCGACACTGTCTGGCCGACGGCACCCTGAGGAGGCCCTCTCTGTGCGAGCGAACCGGTCGGTGGGAGGCTATTGGCGGCAGAAGGCGGTCTCGCAGGTAACCCTGAAAGGAAGGACTAGGGGTGACATGATAGCAGTGTTCCAATATCTGAGGAGCTTCCACAAAGAGGAGAGAGTCAAGCTGTTCTCCAAAGCACCTGAGGGCAGGACAAGAAGCAATGGGCGGAAACTAATCAAGGAGAGAAGCAACTTAGGATTTAGAAGAAATTTCCTGACAGTTAGAACAATTAATCAGTGGAAGAACTTGCCTCCAGAAGTTGTGAATGCTCCAACACTGGAAACTGTTAAGAAGAGATTGTCTGAAATGCCTAAGCAGGGGGTTGGACTAGAAGATCTCCAAGGTCCCTTTCTATACATTCTATAACTCTAGTCGTTTGGCATTTTAGAAACAGAAGCAACTTTGCAAACAGTAAAACTATCCCATTCCTGTCCATGAAGCCATTGCTGTCCCTGAAAAACTTCGTTGGAGCCTTAGAAATCAGATCAGACCAAGAAACAGACACCATGTAGACCTAAAGCTACTTTAATTAGAACAGCCCTAGTAACGGAATCTTGCAAGTCTGATTGTAATTCCCTTCCTCTCTCGTTCATCTTCATGTCATTTTGGAAGGGTGGAGCTGTCTGGACTCAAGCCTTATCTGATCATGGCCTTTGCAATGAATCTTCCCTCTCTTTCAAAGCAATTCCTCTAAACTTTTCTGGCTCCACAGACTGGCAGGCGCTGCAGGTGGCAGAAGGGGTGGGGAGAGATGGTTTCACACAGGCAAATGGAACTTTGTTCACTTGTCCGTGGCTTATGTGGCCCGGTTCCTAACGTGCGACAGAGTTGGGAGTTGAGAACCCCTGCTCTATACTCCCTACAGCTGGAGATGCCCTCTTTAATAATGGCAAAGGCAGGTCGAGATTGCCATCCAGGGAGGGAATTGCACAAAATTTAGAAATCGCTCATTGACTACCCTTTCTCTAGGGAATAGAGCTCCATCACCTCCACCATCCCAACTCTAATCAAGGGATTAAAGACCATGGATTCTCCTAAATGCGTAAGAGCAGGGGTGTCAAACTCAATTTCATTGAGGGCCGCATCAGGGTTGTGTTTGACCTTGGGGGGCTGGGGTTGACGTGGCCAAGGTGGACGTGGCCAGCTCGACATCACTCGTGTCAGGGGCGCCTGCGGTGGTCTGAGTGCTCTGCCAATGAAAATGGGCTCCCGAGCTCCGTTTTCAGCTGCGACAGCCTCCTGCAACCCTCTGCCAGTGAAAACGGAGCTGCAGGAGGCCGCCGCAGCTGAAAACGGAATCTGGGAGGGCCACATGCAGCCCTCCCAAGCTCCATTTTCGCTGGCAGAGGCACTGTGGGCCGGTCCTTCGCTGTTTCCAGGGCGGCCCCACGGGCCAGATCTAAGCACCCCGCAGGCCTTGAGTTTGACACCCCTGCTAAAACCACAGCTAAAGGCATTGGTGATCGCCTTGAAAACCCTTCATGGCCCCGGTCCAGGTTATTTGAGGGACCGTCCCACCCCACTGGGATTGACCCATTCCCACCCGTGCTGTCAGAGGAGGCATACTATAGGCCCCATCAACCTGACGATTTTGGTTGGCGGGGTCCAGGAGAACCTTCTCTGCTGTTGCTTCTTCCCTCTGGAACATCTTGCCCCCCACCTGCACATTATGAGGTCGGCCCCAACCCTCCTCTCTTTTCATAAGGGGTTAAAGACCTGGCTCCATCAGTCCACCCCAGTGGGGGAACAGTGCAATGGAAGTGGCTGATTGAGTAATAACAGACCTAGGGGTGGGATTCTACCGGTTCGGGCGAATCGGTAGCTCTGACGATCAGCTCCGCCCGCCAGCCCACCCCTGCACCTCACTTACATTTATCTTTGCAGCTGATTAGCAGGGCAGAGCGGATTTCCATGCCTCAGCTGTTTTAATTCCCTAGCACTAACGCGGAAGGTGATTTGTTGTTGAACTGCGCACTTGCGCAAAGCACACGATCACTGAATCGGTTGTTAAACCGGAAGGATCCCACCAATGAACAGATCCCATCTCCCCCTCACTCCGCCCCCGCTCTCCCCACATGTCCTTGATTTTAATTTCTGGTTTTAATTTATCCAGGTTTTAATGTAGATGGTTGTTTTTTTTAAATTTCTGTAAGCAGGCCAGGAGTTACCTTATGGTAAGACGGGCAGCCATGAAATTTTATAACTAAATAAATAAAACAGGGGAGGAAGTGGCCAAAGGATTGCCGTCATCCCGAAGTCCATCTGCACCAGGCCTTCCCTGACTCCACTGTCTGGTTCACCCATTAGAAGTCTGTGCATGGTCAGAGGCTGCCCTGTGTGTGAAGAATCTGGCCTTAATTGAATGGAGGTTGACCTCCCTTTCTGTTCAAGGGGGCATTCAGGGGTAAGAGCTGTGGTGGCACAGGGGTTAGAATGCAGTGTTGCAGGCTGACTCTGCCGACCGCCAGCAGTTCGATCCCGACCGGCTCAAGGTTGACCCAGCCTTCCATCCTTCCAAGGTCGGTAAAATGAGGACCCAGATTGTTGGGGGCAATAAGCTGACTCTGTAAACTGCTTAGAGAGGGCTGGAAAGCACTGTGAAGCAGTATATAAGTCTAAGTGCTAGTACTATATTATTATTATTTATTTAATTTTTATACCGCCCTTCTCCCGAAGGACTCAGGGCGGTGAACAGTCAGAATAACATACATATAATGGGAAATAAAAACAATTTAAAATAGTTAAACCAATTTGGCTCATCAGTTAAGATCCTCAGCATAGAATTTAGACAATTTGAAAATTTATGCCAGCCCGGCTTGGTGAAACAGGAAGGTCTTCAGTGCACGACGGAAAGTACGGAGATGTGGGATATATGTGTGCAGCCCCCAAGCATGGCTCCAATTTTAGCAGAATGCAGAAAAAGGCTTCTGTGTTATTCAGGGGATGAAGGACCCAGATTTCCCTGAAATATTAATAGCTCTGAAAAACCTCTTTACGCAGCGCCCTAATTATGATCATAATCATTATCATCTGCTACCAGGGAAAGATAAGAGGGCCTGGTCATGCATACTTATTATTAATCAGCAATTAAGTAAAACGATAAGATTTTCATTTTCTCTTATTGCTTCTAAATTTCCCTCTCCCGAACAGGGAAAGAAATAGTTTGGTGATCTTGTGAATGAGAAAAAAAATAAAGTCTGTCTTCCTTCCTCCCTCCCTCCCTCCATCTTTCTTTTTCTTTCTCTTTCTTTTTCTTTCTTTCTTTCTTTCTTTCTTTATTTCTTTCTTTCTTTCTTTCTTTCCTCCCTCCCTTTCTCTCACTCTCTTTCTTTCTTTGTTTCTTCCCTCCCTCCCTCCTCTTTCTTTCTTTCTTTCTTTTTTCTTTCTTTCTTTCCTTCCTTCCTTCCTCTCCCTCCCTTCCTTTCTCTCTCTCTTTTTTCTTTCTTTCCTTCCTTTCTTCCTTCCTTCTGTCCTCTCCCCCTCCCCCTTTCTTTCTTTCCTCCCTCCTCTCTCCTCCCTCCTTTCTTTCTTCTTTCTTCTTTCTTTCTTTCTTTTTTCTTTCTTTCTTTCCTTCCCCTTCCTCCCTCCCTCCCTTCCTTCCTTTCTCTCTCTCTCTCTTTCTTTCTCCTCCCTTTCTTTCCTTCCTTCCTTCCCTCCCTCTCTCCTCCCTCCCTCCTTCCTTCCTTCCTTCCTTCCTTCCTTCCTTCTTTCTTTCTTTCTATCTTTCTTTCTTTCTTTCTTTTTCTCTCTCTCTTTCTTTCTCTCTCTCTCTCGTCTTTCTTTCTTATCATTTTCTTTTATTGTTATTGTTATTATTATTTATACGTCATCCATCTCTGTGTCCAAGGCATCTCCGTGTCCAAGATTTAAAAGCAAATTATGGAATTGAAGGCTAGAGATAGTAAAGCCTAAATTTTAAAGCAGGGGCCCTTATGGGCTGGATGGAGGGGCATGACCAGATTAGTCCCTCTGTTATATAAAAAGGCTGGATGGTATGTAAACATCGTACAGTACTTTTTCCTTCTGTGATGACAGGTTCGGGATTCTGCTCAGTCGTTCTTGACAGTCCATGTCCCACTTTACGTCTCCTACGTTTACGTAACCGCACCCAGAGGCTGGGCCTCTCTGGAGCATCACACGGAGATGGAGTTTTCCTTCTTCTATGACACCATTCTCTGGAGAACAGGTAGGGGGTTAGTTTTATTTTTTCCATGACACGGGGTGAAAGGGTGAAATGTAGCACCCTTGAGATCCTAAGTTTCCCTCAGCTTGGCCAAGTGGCTTCTTGAGAACTTCTTTGGTTGCCTCCTACTGGAAGTGGACTCCAATCGAGGGAACGGGGCAATGTGATGACTTATCCACATTGATTGATACTTCATTGAGGAAGCCCAGACTGTTGGCATTCTCTCTCTCTCTCTCTCCTTCAGGTATACAGACGGACAGCGTCCTTTCGGCCAAACTGCAGATAATCAGGATTTACATCCGAGATGATGGTCGGCTGGTCATTGAGTTCAAAACTCACGCCAAGTTCAGAGGTGAGTCATTCTTGCATTCTGCAACTAACCAAGGTGGGTTTCAGCAGGTTCTGACCAATTCTGGAGAACCGGTAGCGGAAATTTTGAGTAGTTCGGAGAACCGGTAAATACTGACTCTGACTGGCCCCGCCCCCATCTATTCTCTGCCTCCCGAGTCCCAGCTGATTGGGAGGAAATGGGGATTTTGCAGTAACCTTCCCCTGGAATGAGGAGGGAATGGAGATTCTCTGCACTATCAGGCCTGGAAGGCAGATTAAGAAACCAATGCCATTGTTGGTCGGTGTTAGTTTAATTGTAAACCTTTAGTAACATAATTTTGCAAGTCTGAATATGCTTCCTGCTTCCCTCCCTTTGTATGAACTATAGAGGGCTTGCCTAAGACGTTTAGTCAGATGAATTTTATCTATTTATTTCTCAAATTTGTATAGCTGCCCTTCTCCCCAAAACAAGAAACTTAATTTCTTGGCCAGGGCTCAGGCCACTTTTATCTGATTGTTGCCTTAGTGGCAGCTCTCCCTCCCCTTCTTCAAGGCCATTTGCTCTTCCCCCACAAAGAAATATTATGGTTATACTTATTCCCTTACATCTTAACTTAATAGTTTCTTATTGCCTTTTTTCCCTGTATTCCCTGTACAGCAATTAACTGTATTACTTGAAAGACCATTACAAAACAAATGCTTCAAATGATTGATTACTTATAATTGTTTATTGTATAATGTATTTTTATGTTTTTGTCATATGTGTTTTATGTGTTTTATATCTGTTTTAATAAAGTTTATAAATTAAAAAAAAAAGAAGAAATATTATGGTAGTGAATCTGCTTATTCCCGTCCGCACAGGGCATTTTGTGATGGAACACCACACTCTGCCAAACGCCAAGTCTTTTATCATGACCCCTGACCACCTGGGAGGGATGGAATTTGACCTACAGCTCTTGTGGAGTGGACAGACCTTTGACTCTCCTTATCAACTCTGGAGAGCAACCAGCTCCTACAGCAGGTATGAAGGAGAACTTTTGAGATGCATTGGTTTTGAAGTTGCTACCAAAGTTGCTATCATGGTCCAAGGAGACTGGATGGATGGATGGGTGGATGGAAAGATGGAGAGATGGAAAGATGGATGGATGGAAAGATGGAGAGATGGATGGATGGAAAGATGGGTGGGTGGGTGGATAGAAAGATGGATGGATGAGTGGATGGATGGATGGACAGGCAGATAGAAGATAGATAGATAGATAGGTAGATAGATAGATAGAGTCCTTGACATACGACCATAATTGAGCCCCAAACCTCTGTTGCTAAGTCAAATATTCGTTCAGTGAATTTTGCCCCATTTTATGTCCTTTCTTGCCACAGTTGTTAAATGAATCACTGCATGGACCAGTCTCTTCAAAGAAGACGCAAGACTTAAACTCCCTCTTATTGCTGAGACAGAGTGGACAGTTATGGAATTAGGGCAGTTGGTGGGATCCATGATGCTGGTAGCTTTAGATACAGGTAGTCCTCGACTTACGACAGTTCACTTAGTGACTGTTGGAAGTTACAACAGCAGTGAAAAATGTGACTTATCAATGTTTTTCATACTTAAGACCGTTGTGGCCTCTCCATGGTCATAATGATCAAAAATCAGATGCTTGGCATTCTGACTCATATTTATGACGGTTTGCCGTGTCCCAGGGTCACGTGATCAACTTTTGCAACCTTCTGACAAGCTAAGTCAATGGGGGAAGCCAGATTCACTTAACAACTGTGTTACTCATGTTAACAACTGCAGCGATTCACTTAACAACTCCGGCAAGAAAAGTCGTAAAAGGAGGTCACATTCACTTGTGTGTTTGGGGATTGTTATGTGTGTTGGACCTGGTCTTTGGGTGTTAAGTGAATTTCGTTGTATGGGTATACTGTGTATACACGTACAATGACAATAAAGTTATTTATTTATTTATTTAACAAATGTCTCACTTAACAACAGAAATTTCGGGCTCAATTGTGGTCGTAAATCGCGGACTACCTACAGTAAAGCAATAAACATTGCTTTATAATAATAATTCAAATAATATTACATTAAATTTAAAATATTATTTTTAAAGAATTAAAATAATAATATGAAATTAAAAAGATGGGCGGAGGTGGGAGCAGGAAGCGCAAGAATAAATTATCAAGCGCATCATGTAATTCTAGGGAGGCTGCATTGATCGTAAGTGTGAAAAAGGCTCATAAAGTCACTCTTTGCAGTGCCATTGTAACTTCGAACAGTCACTAAATGAATTGTATTATAAGTGAAGGACTATCTATATCTCCGTCTTTAATTCATAAGCCTACTTTCTGTCTGTGTGTTGTGGGGTTTTTTTTTTTTGGTTCATCTTCCACACATCTCGTGATCAACTAACCACAAGGAACTAAATTTATTCGTCATATTTCTATGCCGCCCACTCTCCGAGGACTCTGGGCGGCTTACACCAAAGACAGTATACTAAATAGCATATTGTCCTCCAACAATCTGGGTCCTCATTTTGCCCACCTCGGAAGGATGGAAGGCTGAGTCAACCTTGAGCCGGTGAGATTTGATCCGCTGATCTGCTGAACTAGCAGTCAGCTGAAGTAGCTGCAGTACAGCACTCTAACCACTGCGCCACCTCGGCTCATCAATGTCTATGGCTCATCAATGTCTATGGAGATTCTCAGTCATCCGAGTTGTGGTTGTCCCAAAGGTGCTTTTTCAAAAGGCAACTGGACTTTCTGTGTTTTTCCTTGAAGAAGTTTCGCTTCTCATCCAAGAGGCTTCTTCAGTTCTGACTGAAGTTCCTCACCATTCAGTCAGAACCCGAAGAAGCTTCTTGGATAAGAAGCGAAACCTCTTCAAGGAAGAAAAAAAAAAGCCCACTTGCCTTTTGAAAAAATATCCACAAGGGGGGAAACGCTTGCAGTTCAATGCACTAATGTTGGTACTTTATCTCTGATTTCAGGAAAGATTATTCCGGAGAATACACCATCTCCTTAATACCATGTACGGTCCAACCCACACAATCTTGGGTTGATCCAGGAGATAAGCCCTTACCCTGCACAGCTCATGCTCCAGAAAAGTAAGTAAATGCTTACGTTGTTTCATGCCTGAAGATAAGCGTCACTATTTAAAAACCACCCAAAAAAAGGAGAGGAAATTTTCAGCACACGCAGAAAGGGCCAAAGGCTATAATACTTTGCTTGAAATTCTGCAGTTGGGAGAAGTTTAGCAGCTTGCTACATCATCTTCCCCTACGGTATCTCGGTACAGGTTTGCGTGCATTTCTTGCGCATAAGTAAGCTTAAAGTCAACAAGGAGAATACAAATAGGGACAATTAGAGACACAATAGTAGGGGAACATCTGAGGAGCTTACGTGATGAGGAGGTTGAAATATTAACAATCATCAGGTGGAGGGCTATTTTCCGGAGGAATTGTAAGAGGATGTGCGTGAGAGAAGACATTGGTGTCCAGACAATTATACATGACTGATGGAATGTAAGCAGGAAGAATTTAAAACAATACATGCTTGTGATCCTGTAAAGATCTTCTAAGGCACAAAACAATACATGCTTGTGATCCTGTAAAGATCTTCTAAGGCCCGCGGGCTGGATCCTGCCCACGGGGTACTTAAATCTGGCCCTTGGGGCTGTCCTGGAAACAGAGAAGGATCGGCCCACTGTGCCTCTGACGGCGGAAACGGAGCTTGGGAGGACTGTGTGAAGCCCCTCTTCCCCTGGGCTCTGTTTTCCTCTGGCAGAGGGCCAGCGAAACAAACTAAACACAAAACAAAAGGAGAAATTTGAGCATTCAAGAAGGGACAGGAAAGGCAAAGGGGAAAGAGGAAGGACAAAGACAAAGATGGGAAGAGAGCAAGGAAGGAAGAAGAAGGAAGGAGGGGAAAGAAGAAGAAAGGAGAATGAAGAGGGAGGGAAGGAAGGAAGGAAGGAAGGAAGGAAGGAAGGAAGGAAGGAAGGAAGGAAGGAGATTATAATGAGAAGGAGGGAGGGTCTGAGGGAAGTCCTGCCTTAGCTTTTGGCCACCACAGGTGCCCCCAACACAAATGACGTCGAGCTGGCCATGCCCACCATGGCCACACCCACCTCTGCCACGCCCACCCCATCCCCCCACAGTCAAACACAACCCTGATGCGGCCCTCAATGAAATTGAGTTTGACACCTCTGTTCTAGACCCTACCAACCAAAACTCCTTGACTGACAGGGTCCCCAGCATGTTACTTCTGTTAGATCAGGCCAATCCCATTCGGGCAAGATGTTTCTTCAGATAATTTGCTCCTATGCCATCTCTTTCTTTTGTGCTGGGCTTCAAATAGGATGCAAATATATCGAACGGTAAGAAATCAGGAACCAGGGTTGTTCAAATAAGTACTGGTTTATTCCATGCCACCTCTAAACAAGAATCTGAACTACTAACGGTTAAGGCTAATTGGCAGTAGATAAGATTCAAAGGAATTCAAGGAAGGCTGGACTTAGATCTCTCATGGACATGAAGGGACTCCAAACTCATGATGTGCTTGACCCCTCCCTTGGGCTCATGTCAACTGTCCAGTTGGGGAATCCAGAAAAAGGAACTCCAGGTACACCAAGAGTACAAAACTTTACTGAATAAACCACATTGGCACAGAAGAAGCAAAACCAGCTCTGGGTTTCCTGCGCAAAAACAAGCATAGTTCATTCCCCCTTTTCCCTATGGGCCACTCACAGTCCATTATGTCCACCAATCACTTCTGTTCATTTTGTTATGGGAACCAGCCAGCCACGCCGGGACATCTGCTCGGTGTGTCCTTGAGATGCCAACAGTGTCTCACAGAAGCTGAATACAGCAGCGGCCAAAATTGTGGAAACCTTGTGGGAAAAGTGTATTTTTGAGGTTTGATGGCTAATAACACCACTTATTTTTTTGGAGTTCCAAGATAATCATATTCCACTGCTGGAATGGCCTGGGAGTAGCCCAGACCCTAAGGGCAGTTCACCAAGGGAGGTTAAGCTACTGTTCCTGAAGCTAAAAGCTAAAAATTCCAATCTTGATAGCAGGCTTTGGTCCCTGGGCCAAGTTGTGATTAGTTCAGCCACCACATGTCTTCGCGTTCCCTTCCCACATTCTTTCTTCTGTCACCAACACAGATTCTTCCCCCCCCCCCAACCCGGTCCCCGTGTTAATGCTTTGAAGGCGTAAGGATCAAAGAGTAGAGGTTGTTCCTTCACTCCTACCTTTTATTATTATTATTATTATTGTTTAGACTTCTATACCGCTTCATAGTGCTTTACAGCCCTCTCTAAGCTGTTTACAAAGTTAGCATATAGCATATTGCATATTAGCATATTGCATTAGCATTAGCATATTGCCCCCAACAATCTGGGTCCTCATTTTACCCACCTCAGAAGGATGGAAGGCTGAGTCAACCTTGAGCCGGTGAGATTTGATCTGCTGACCTGCTGAACTAGCAGTCAGCTGAAGTAGCTGCAGTACTGCACTCTAACCACTGCGCCACCTCGTGGAATCTTTATCACGAGGACAAAGTGATGCTTCGTCTTCAACCAGGCAAAAGAGTACAGCTCAGGGGTGTCAAACTTGATGCCCTATCCTCCCGCTGGGCGCCGAACCGCTCGACAACTCACCTGGCTCCGCTCGTCCGCGCGGCAACACAGGCGTGGGATAGCATGGGGCTGCGCCCGCCCCTCCGACACGCTTCCTAGTTTCGGCCGGGACACGCGCACATTTACACGTGGGGGGGGATGTACAGAGGCGCTTCAGTGGGGGGGGGTGGAAGCATCGGGGCTAGGGTTTCACAGGGTCGGGTAGCTTTTGCTCGGGAAGTTTCTGACATGCAGCAGCTGGCTCCTATCACCGCCCCGCCCGTTTCCAGCCTGCTGATTCACCACTGGCGGGGCGTTGTTCCGGGCTCCGCCTCACAGCTGGCGGGCGCGGGATGGATTTAAGTGCTACATGCCGTATGCATGGAGCGCCAATTTTACATCGTTACGACTGCAGCGTTTTCGGGACGGACAAGATTAAACCAGCATTACATTCCAACGTTGTTCTTGGTGGTTTGTCTTTGTTGCGCCTGAGGATTCTGAGACTTGATTTCACTGAGGGCCGCATCAGGGTTGTGTTCGACCTCGGAGGGGGGAGCTTGGGGGGGGGGCGTGGCCACCTTGACATCACTCATGTCGGGGGCGCCTGTGGCGGCCCAAGCATTCTGCCAGCGAAAACGGGTTCCCAAGCTCTGTTTTCGGCTGCGATGGCCTCCTGCAACCCTCTGCCAGTGAAAACAGAGCTTGGGAGTCCGTTTTTGCTGGCAGAGCGCTCGGGCCGCCACAGGCGCCCCCAACATGAGTGATGCAGTGGTGGGTTGCCCTCGGTTGAGACCGGTTCGCAAGAACCGGTAGTAAAATCGGCGGGCGACTCCACCCACTGACCTGGACCTCCGCCCACTGACCAGAAAGCTTCTGCGCATGCGGTCCCGTTGCAAACCGGTAGTAAAGGTAAGTAGAACCCACCCCTGGAGTGATGTCAAGGTGGCCACGCCTATCCCCTGCGTTTTTGCTGGCAGAGGCACCACGGGCCGGTTCTTTGCTGTTTCCAAGGCGGCCCCACGGGCCAGATCTAAGCACCCCATAGGGCCCCCGGGCCTTGAGTTTGATACCCTTGGTATAGCTAATCCTCGACTTAGAACCACAATTGAGTCATTGGGGAAGCCAGATTCATTTCACGGCCGTGTTACTGATTTAACAACTGCAGTGATTCACTGAACGACTGTGCCGAGAACGGTTGTAAAACGGGACCCTTAACTGTCTCGCTTAACAACAGCATTTTTGAGCTCAGTTTTGGTTATAAGTCGAGGACTACCTGGTATGTGCTTACATGACAACCTTCAAAGTGGCGAGAATGCTAGTCGCCTACCCTGGAGGAGCTGAAAGGAGCTAGGTTGGGAAACTGGAACCCTGTTTCCTTGGCTTTGAAGCGTTAATCTCCTTCTAGATTAATCTGATTTAATGTATTAGCAAGTCCAAAGTTTTGTCCCAGTAGGACAAAAGATAATCTGCACTGATTAAAAAAAAAAACCAACACTTCTAGATGTCCTCCGGTCATTCCTGAAGGTATTTTGAAATGTCAGCATTACTTGAATAGAAACAAAATGCTTTGAGATCCACCCATGAGCTTCACTGCACTGCTGCTTAGTTATCTTTGTCCTAGCTAATAACTAGGTTAGGAGAAGACCTGGAAGGTTTCTGGGATGGTGCGTTGTGCAAAACTCAATGTGTCGGGCTACACGTTTGATCGTGCAAGACGTCATTCGTCGATCCGAAAAGCAGAACCTGCAGCGGCGGGAATAATAAATAATAAAGATGATGAGGATGGTGTTGTCGTTGTACAAACTCAAGCCATTTTGCTTAGATTGTGGTCTACTGTATTTTGCGAACCTAGAAAACAGGTCCATTTAATAACCAGGTTAGACATGAACCCTACTTGATGATAATTCCGGACCGATCACCCTCTCTCAATCCTTCTCAAATGAGACAATGGTTGGTTTGCCAGGAGATATAAGATTTGACTTCTCTTGACCGCTAAGGTTTTCTTAATTGTTGAGAATTTGGCTGAACAGCTGATTTTTTCTGCCCCGGGCTGTTCCTGGAGGAAAAACCCCAGAGAGGATAACATTTATTTGCGGGACCGCCTTCTGCCGCCGATAGCCTCCCACCGACCAGTACGCTCCCACAGAGAGGGACTCCTCAGGGTGCCATCGGCCAGGCAATGTCGGCTGGCGACCCCCAGGGGGAGGGCCTTCTCTGTGGCAGCTCCCGCCCTCTGGAACGATTTGCCCCCGGAGATAAGAAGGATATCGGATCTCCGGGTCTTTCGCCGTGCCCTGAAAACTCTTCTTTTCCAGCAAGCAGGGCTGGCGTGAACCCCGCCCCCTTCTTTAGTTTTTAATGGTTATTAATTGTTTAGTTTTAATTTGTTAATGGGTTTTAATTCGCACTGTTTTAATTCGGGCCAAAGTATATAATTCTTTTAATTAATTTTAAATTTTGTATTGTTATGTATTTTAGTTTTGGCTGTGCACCGCCCTGAGTCCACTAGGAGAAGGGCGGTATATAAATTGAATAAATAATAAATAATAATAATAATAATTTAGATCAGGGGTGTCAAACTCAAGGCCTGCGGGCTGGATGCGGGTGCTTAAATCTGGCCCATTGGGCCGGCATGGAAATATCAAAGGACCAGTCCGCAGTGCCTCTGCCGGCCAAAATATCAAAGGATCGGCCTAAAAGGCCTCCGCGCACCCCAGTTTGGCCAGCAAAGTGCTGTTGGAGGCCGTTCAGGCTGAAAACGGGCCATACGGGGGCCTCGCGGGGCCTCCGTGTACTCCATTTTGGCCAGCAGGTTGCTACAAGAAGGCACCTGTCCCATCTCAGCTCCCCGCCCCCTGCTGGAGAACTATAATACTGATCCAGCCCTTGAAGAAATCCAGTTTGACACCTCTGATTTAGATAATGCAATATATATTAGGTAAAGGTAAAGGTTTCCCTCGCACATATGTGCTAGTCATTCCCGACTCTAACGGGAGGTGCTCATCTCCATTTCAAAGTTGAAGAGCCAGCGCTGTCCGAAGACATCTCCGTGGTCATGTCTAAATGCTAAAGGCGCACGGAACGCTGTTACCTTCCCACCAAAGGTGGACCTTATTTTTCTACTTGCATTTTTTACTTGCTTTCGAACTGCTAGGTGGGCAGAAGCTGGAGCAAGTAACGGGAGCTCAACCCGTTACGTGGCACTAGGGATTCGAACCGCCAACCTTTTGACCGAAAGGTCGAACTGCTGACCTTTCGAGTGACAACCTCAGCGTCTTAGCCACTGAGCCACTGCGTCCCTATATATATATATCTCTCTCAAAGAAAAAGTTAGGAAATAAACAAATATTCCTGGCATTATTACTTCCTGTGACCTTATTTCTCTATTCCCTTTCTTCCCCATATAGATTTTTGATCCCAATTGCCTTTCAACAGACCAACCGCCCGGTTCCCGTCGTGTATTCCCTGAACACGGAGTTTCAGCTCTGCAATAATGAAAAAGTTTTTCTCATGGACCCAACTAAAACTGAGATGTCGATGGCTGAGATGGACTACAAGGGAGCTTTTTCCAAAGGTATGATTTGTGTTTCGAGATTTGGGCGGGGCATAGAGCACTTTGGGGGAACGGCTGTTCTGACCTAGGCTTCCTGAGTCAGTAAAACGCACGAGTAGTCCCAAAAACCTCTTTTATTTCAACAGCTGTGAATTCTGTTCATTCACAGATGAGTCCCAAATAGTTATAAAGAGTCTTTCGGGATAAGGCTGATAATCTTCCACCTTTATCTCTCTTGACATGCTGTCAAAGACCACAGGGAATCCAGAATCAAACAGAGCTTCAGAATGTAAACTGCACAGAATTAACAATGTTGCTTCCTGCAAAGGCCCACATGCCTTTGCTCCTCTTTTAAGTCTTATGGGAGGGGCCAATCATCTCCAGGCCTTACTCCCGAGTCATCCCTAACTGTTCTTGCCTTCTGGCAGTTCTGCGCACTCGCGCAGTGGGAACAGGCTCCCCCTGTTCCTCTGCCTCGCTGAGGCTCCGGAGTCCGCACATAACTTCCAGATGGCCCCATCTCTGCCTCCGACACAGAGCCCTCATCCGAGCCTTCCCCAGACTCCAGGACTGGCCCATGGTCCTCCCCAGCCTCCTCACTGTCCGACTCTGCTGCCAGCTCCGTAGGCTCCTGGCGGACCACAACAACGGCAAGGAAAACGTCAGGGAAGGTCACAGAAACGTTCTGTGGGAAAATAAACTAGATTGAATTGCAGAATAAGTGAAACGGCAGCTGATTGGACGGGCATAACACTCTTCTTCAAGAAATCAATTTCTGAAGAGCCGGGGTTGCGCAGTGCTTAGAAGGCAGTATTGCAGACTAACTCTGCCGACTGCCGGCAGTTCGATCCTGACCGGCTCAAGGTTGACTCTGCCTTCTGTCCTTGAGGACCCAGATTGTTGAGGGCGATAGGCTGACTCTGTAAAACCGCTTAGAGAGAGCTGTGAAGCGGTAAATAAGTCTAAGTGCTATTGCTACAGCAAGACAGACATCAGGAAGGTGTGGCGTAATCCTGACGTAATGGAGAAGTCAGCAAGGCTGTTCCCCTTCAGTGGCATTTGAAAAGCCAAGAAAGGTAAACAAGAGGATATTTCTCTGGGCCCAGTTAGTTCACCAAAAGATCGAAGATACGCAGGTAGTCCTCGACTTACGATCACAACTGAGCCCAAAATTTCTTTTGCTAAGCGAGACAGTTGATAACGTGAGCTTGGCCCCCTTTTATGATCTTTTTGGCCCAGTTGTTAAGCGAATCACTGCCGTTGTTAAGTGAATTATGAGGTTGTACAGCTCTTCCCTCCCCTTCCCCATTGACTTTGTTTGTCGGAAGCCACTGGGAAGGTTACAGAAGGTGATCACATGACCCTGGGACTATGCAACTGTCATTGCAACTGCCAAATCTCAAATTTTGGTCACGTGACCATGGAGATGCTGCAAGCAGTTGTTATGTGTGAAAACTAGTCACAAGTCCTATGGAGATTCTCAAGTCAACCAGGTCATGGTTGTCCCAAAGGTGCTTTTTCAAGAGGCCACTGGACTTTCTGGGGTTTTTTTTTTTCCTTTGAAGACGTTTCGCTTCTCATCCGAGAAGCTTCTTCAGCTCTGACTGAATGGTGGGGAATGGAAGGATTTATACTCCTTCCAGACAGCTGGTCATTTGCATCCTTTTTAGAGAGTCATTGAGGCCACTTGGAGGTTTGTCTGTGTCCTCGGAGTCCCCTGAATATAAATCCTTTGGTTCCCCGCCATCCAGTCAGAGCTGAGGAAGCTTCTTGGATGAGAAGCGAAACATCTTCAAAGAAAAAGCAGAAAGTCCAGTTGCCTCTTGAAAAAAGCACCTTTGGGACAGTCATAAGTCACTTGTCAGCATTCTGATGCTGCCATAAAAAGGAGGAGACGAGGCTTGACTTTTCACCTACTTATTTTCTCTGTAGATAATATCCCCTAGGAGATGGGATGGGAGGGGGGAACATTCCTGTGGGGTGAGGTCAGAAGCTGGGGAGACTGACTTGGAAGATGGCCAATGAGAAGATGAGAATTGGGGAACGGAAAGGGAAGGGTTTGGGGGGTCAGAGGGTTAGTATCGGCTACAACGAAGTCGGGGCCAGATCTGTCGTACTCAATAAATGGAATATTTCAGCAAAGATTAATTGTTTGGGAATGCAATTTATTTGAGATGACATCGAAACCTGACATCACTTTTATTTTGGGCTCTTGTAATTTCAAACGATCACTAAATGAATGGTTGTAAGTCAAGGACTTACCTGTATATAACTAGCAGTCCACTGGGCTCATTTAAAATCTTAACAGAATGCATGGGAGCTCCCAGCATTCGCAGTCCCCAGCTTGTATACAGTAGTGGCCAAAATTGTAGAAACCATTTGGGAAAAGTGTATTTTTGAGGTTTGATGGATAATAACACCACTTTTTTTGGAGTTTCAAGATAATCATATTCCACAGCTGAAATGGCCTGGGAATTGCTCAGACCTTAACCCAATTGAAAATCTATGGAGCCGACTAAAGAAACTTGTTAGTCAGAAGCGACCCAGCAATAAAACCCAGTTAATAGAAACAATCCTTCAATCTTGGTTTAACATTATAACAGCTGCAGAACTCAAAGACTTGGTTCACTCCATGGGAAGATGTTGTAAGGCCATCATTCATGCTAAAGGTTACCCAACTAAGTATTAACTGACATGGTGATAATTTTTGTATCTCTCGTTTTTTTATGGTGATAATTTTTGTATATCTCGTTTTTTCTACATGTTTTACTTTTCTTCTTTGTACTGTAACTGCTATTCTAATAGCAAATCCTTCCTAAAAGTTATAGCATTACATTCTTGATTCAATTATCTTTCCATTGATATATAATTTTATCGTATTACTCCAAAAACAACTTTTCCCAAAAAGTTTCCACAATTTTGGCCACTACTGTATAGTTGGCATTTTTAGAACATGGTGTCCTGTTCCTCTTCAAACATGAGAAGTATACCAGGAGATTTTAGAAGGACCCTATTTATATGGTGTTCATTTTATTAAACTATAGGGTTTTTTTTTTTATATTATTAAATTTGTATGCCACCCATCTCACTGGCTGGTTCCTAGAATTTCTTGCTTAGCCGTCTGTTTTGCAGGAAGCTGTATAAGTAAACTCCCTGCAATGCACGAGGGTAATGTGTAATAGATATTTAATATTGGAATATATGTATTTATGTTAATATATGTATATATGTTAATCATATGCATATATATCCCATGAAGCAGGACAGGGTGATATTTAATGCATGCTTAATATATTAATGTATGCTTAATGTATGTATATATGCGCTATAAAGCAGGATGGGGTAAAAATATGTCTGTATTAAACGTTGGGTTGTGATTATGCCCAGGAATGCTTCAGCTGAGCTTCAACTCTGCCTCTTTTCATTCAAACCTTGCTTCAATAACTCATTAAATGTTCAGGGAGTTAAGTTGATATTATCATAGAAGTCCCAGGATTCCAAGCTGAACTGGGAGATTGGCAACATAAGATGAGGGAGTCAGCTGGGAAAGTTTGGCACAGCACAGGTTCGAGGCATCTTCTCGTTGTCCAACATCTTCTATCATAATGCCAAATTTCGAATTCAACTCTCCTCTTCCTTTGAGCAATGCAGCCATTTTCTTGCTAGAAGCGGGACTAGGATGCCTGTCAGGGTTCCAAGTAACACCCCCAATGAAAGAAGACTCCGAGGCTTGAAGTTCCTCAAAGTTCCATTTTATTAGAGATGTCATATTGGCACATTTGGGAAAACCCGAATCTGAAAGCTTCCAGGTTTTCCCCACCCAACAGAAAGTCCTAGTCCTTGCCCAGCATCCACAGGGCCCAATCAAAGCACCGTCCCAACTGGAGAGGCCTCCCAGTTCCAACCGTCCAGGTGCAGGGCAAGATGTCCTTGACTCTCTGAGAAAAGAATGTTATTATAACTATATATCATCCATGCTCCATACAATCCCCCCTCCCAGTTTCCCACTGTAGGAAATGTGGCAGGCCTGAAGGCCCAATGCAAAAGATGGCTTCCAGGCCTGACAACGCCCTTCTCTGGATATTTGTCCTTTTGGTGTAGGAATTGCACAGTTGCAGGAATTGGGTATGTCTAGTTTAATGAAAAGAAGGACCAGGGATGACATGACAGCAATGTTCCAATATTTGAGGGACTGCCACAAAAGAAAAGAGGGGATCAAGCTATTCTCCAAAGCACCTGAAGGCAGGACAAGAAGCGAGTGGAAACTAGTCACGGAGAGAAGCAAGCTAGAACTGAGGAGAAATTTCCTGACAGTGAAAACAATTAATCAGTGGAACGACTTGACTCCAGAAATTGTGCTTCGATACTGGAGGTTTTTAAAGAAGAGATTGAACAACCATTTGTCTAAAATAGTGTAGGGCAGTGATGGCTAACCTTTTACGTCACCGCGTGCCGGCCTGTGTGCCGGAAATGGCACGTGAAGCCATCCCACAAGGAATGCGCAGCCCCCTGGCCTTCATGTGTGTGGGAGCGGCGATACCCAGAAGAGCGGCAGTCCATCGCGCATGCACGAGCCGGCACCTGAATGTCCGTTTCCAACACAGCCACGCGCCCGACGAACAGCTGGCCATCATGCATGCGCGCGACATAAACCCGGAAGTTCGGGTGCCGGCCTGCACATGCGCGATGGAATGCCACTCTTCTGGGTTTCACTGCGCACGTGACGGCCAGCTGACTGATGCACATATGTGCGCACAGGAATGCGGAAGAGGAGCCAGTGAGGCCACGCATTCCTCGCGGGATGGTTTCACGTGCCACTTCCAGCACACATTCCATACGTTCCCCAAAACTAGTATAGAGTCTTCTGCTTGAGCAGAGGGTTGGACTAGAAGACCTCCAATGCCCCTTCCAACTCTTGTGATTCTGTTGGACATTCGTTGCATCTGCCTGATCTCAAATGTATTTTTTTTTGTTTTTAACTCAGGTCAAATCCTGTATGGCCGAGTGATGTGGAACCCGGAGCAAAACCTCAATTCCGCCTACAAACTGCAGCTGGAAAAAGTCTACCTCTGCACAGGGAAGGATGGCTACGTCCCGTTCTTCGACCCAACGGGCACAATATATAACGAAGGACCCCAGTACGGCTGCATCCAGCCTAGCAAGCACCTGAAGCACAGATTCCTGCTGCTGGTACATAGCACAACTCCTGTCTCCATAAGATAAAACTTTGACTGGGGGGGAATTTCAACTTATAGCCATCCATTTAGGGACCGTTCAAGAAAACACGCTCCCATGTAACACTACTCCTGCGTGAGCTGCACTGGCTCCCGGTGGTCTTCCGGGTGCGCTTCAAGGTGTTGGTTATCACCTTTAAAGCGCTCCATGGCATAGGGCCTAGCTATCTTCGAGACCGCCTGCTGCCACCGACGACCTCCCATCGACCCGTGCGCTCCCACAGAGAGGGCCTCCTCGGGGTGCCATCAGCCAAACAATGCAGGCTGGTGACCCCCAGGGGGAGGGCCTTCTCTGTGGGGGCACCTACCCTCTGGGGGCCCCCAGAGATAAGGCGAATCCAAGACCTCAGTGCCTTCCGCCGTGCCCGTAAAACCTTCCTTTTCCAACAAGCCGGGCTGGCCTAATTCTTTTTAAAGTGTTTTTAATTGTTTTGTTTATCGTTTTAATTAATGGGGCCAAATTTATATATATATTTTTAACTGTATTTTAATATTTGTATTTGATGTTTTTACTTGGCTGTTCATCGCCCTGAGTCCTCAGGGAGAAGGGCGGTATACAAATTCAAAATAAAATAAAATAAAATAAAAATAAAAAACACGTGATCAATATTCAGGTGTTTGACAAGGGGCATGGGTTTACGATGAATTCAGCATCATGGATTTGCCATTGGAGACTTTCCCAGACAGCTTCCAATAACGCATTGTAAGCCGCCCTGAGTCTCCGGAGAAGGGCGGCATATAAAACTAAATAAATAATAATAATAATAAAAAAAGCAAAGTCCACGGGAAAACAACCGTGGCAACGAAAGTTTTTAAAATTGGGAGTGACTCACTTAGCAGCCAGCTTGCTTAGCAACAGAAATTCTGGTCCCAATTGTGGTCGTAAATTGAGTACTACTTGTACATGATGGGAGTAAGGAAAACTGTTTTCCTGTAATAGTTAATAACTTAATAACTTACCAGAATGTAATATATGGTATGTGCTAATTAATGAAATCAATTAATTAATTTAAAACACCCATTCATACAGTGAATCTATCTAATTTCTAGTTATGTCAGGGTTCCGACCGATGCCCTAATGAAAGCAGTCCAAGGGACTCGCAGGAGTCTTCTCCATCACCAGAGTTCAAAGGTCTCAATTCTTTGGCGCTCTGCCTTCCTTATGGTCCAACTTTCACAGTCCTACGATGCAACTGGGAAAACCATAGCCTTGACTATACGCACTTTTGTTGGCAGGGTGATGTTTCTGCTTTTTAGTGCGCTGTCTAGCTTTGCCATAGCTTTCCTCCCCAGGAGCAAGCATCTTTTAATTCCTCGGCTACAGTCCCCATCTGCGTTGATGTGTTAGGATTGCAAATCTCAGAATTCCCGGGAATTCTGCGAGTTGCAGTTCTAACATCTCTCTGGACATCATTGGTTTGGAAGCGTTTGTCGAGTGCATCGGTATCCTGATAGCTTTGTCATCATCCTCACCTTGTCCTCAATTCTTTTAACCCTCAGGACCGGAGTCAACCAGAAGTGACTGACAAATACTTTCACGACGTCCCTTTCGATGCCTATTTTGCATCCGAGTTGGCCGATTTCCACCAGGTCAGCAACTTGCCAGGAGTGGATGGTTTCGTCATGAAAGTGGACGCCCTGTATAAGGTACATGGCATACAAATTAATTCATGCATTGGAAAGCCTGATTGAAATTCTCAGGGTTGTTGTCTCAGGAGAACGGTGGAATGCTGTCTTCTTCATCGCTGACCTAAGGGGGAAAGAGAAATATTTGGGGTGTTGCCCTGAGCTCTCATCTTTATGGAATGAGACAGGCTGATGAGGTGGCTTTTCGGCTGAGGGAGAATGGTGTTCATCCTATCTTGGAGAAAATGTTGATGTCCCTTTGCATAAATTCACAGTTGGATGTCTGTGAAGATTCTCAGTCACCCAGGTCACAGTTGTCCCAAAGGTAGGTTTTTAAAGAGGCAACTGAACTTTCTGGTGTTTCTTTGAAGACGTTTCGCTTCTCATCCAAGAAGCTTCTTCAGCTCTACCACATATTTAGTTTTGCCCATATTGACAGCAGCAAATGTTATATTTGCAAAACACTGGAAAAATGAGAGCACCCCGCCAGATGAGGATGTAATTCAAAATTTTTTAGATTGTGCTGAAATGGACGGTCTAACCTTAAAAATAAAAGATAAAGAAGACACAGAATATTACCAGATATGGAATAGATTTTATGAGTGGTTAGAGACAAAGAGGTAGAAATTAGAGGAAGAAAGACTACGAATGTATGTATTAAAAATAAAGATGGTTTATAACTACAATCATAGTGAACAAAAATGTAAATAAGCTAATATAAAAAGAAACTTAGTTAAATTTACTTGGTTATATTATCACTGTTGTTATCAGTACATCTGTTAATATATTATTATTATTGTTATCAGTACATGTGTTAATATTTATTACTGTCTTTTCTCTGGTCCGTCTTTTTTTCTAAATGGTATAACCTGACAATACATTGTATTCAAAACGTTTATATATATATACACACACACATATATAGGTCTTTGGTTATTCGGGTTTTCTCCCACGTAAAATTGGAAATGTCTTGGTGACGTTTCACGAAGCCGAAAACACCAGCCTGAAAATGACGAATGAGACTTCGTCGAAACGTCACCAAGACACTTCCAATTTTACGCGGGAGAAAATCCGAATAACCAAAGACCTACATACAAACACCCGCGAAAACCTCAGAAAACATATATATATATATGTTTTTCCTCTAGCCAGGTTTTCCCTACGTAACGAAGGTTTTTCTGCAGCCCCAGCTCAGTAGAATCACATCCACTCTTCCTGCTAGGTGGGAGACCTATATAGATCTATTTCCAGCTCGTTTGCTTTCATCAGTAGGCCACACCCACATCTTATGTATCCTCCCTGTAAAGGTATAGTATCTATTTTCTTACTTCTTCGTAGGGTTTATGTGTGTTTTTTGGCTAGAGGAAAAACACACATAAACCCTACGAAGAAGTAAGAATATATATATCTATATCTATATCTATATCTCTACATACATATATATATATATCTATATATCTACATACATACATATATACATACATACATACATATACATATACATATACATATACATATACATATATATATATATATATATGATGCTTCTTCAGGTCTGGTTGAATCATTTCCCACCATCCAAGTCAGATCTGAAGAAGCTTCTTGGATGAAAAGCGAAACGTCTTCAAAAAAAAAACCCAGAAAGTCCAGTTGCCTCTTGAAAAAACACCTTTGGGATTCAGAGTTTATTTATTTTAGAACATTTTTATCGTCACTCTACTCGCACATGGCGACTCAAGGCGGCTTACACGGACATTTGAATGCATTCATTTACTGCAGCAATTTTATTTGGGAGTACATAACGTTTTTTTCCCTCAGCATGGACTCACTGACATACCAGCTGTACACCTTCATTTATCAATGAATTTCTGGCTTCAGCATTAATTTGCGGGCCTGTCTTGAAGAGTTTTGGGAAACTGCAAGTAATTCAAAATTAAGTGGAAGTGGCCATACAAAGGTAGTGCCACTTTGTTGGGTCAGTTGTTCCAGCTCTCCTAGAAGATGAAGTAGTAGTATTCTTTAAAAACAAAGAATATTTAAAGATTTGAGTGGCTGACAGGGTACTTCAGGTTACATATCCATCTATACAGTAGTGGCCAAAATTGTGGAAACCTTTTGGGAAAAGTGTATTTTTGAGGTTTGGTGGCTAATAACACCACTTTTTTGGGGGGGGGGAGTTTCAAGATAATCCTATTCCACTGCTGGAATGGCCTGGGAACAGCCCAGACTTTAACCTAATTGAAAATCTATGGAGCCGACTAAAGAAACTTGTTAGTCAGAAGCAACTCAGCAATAAAACCCAGTTAATAGAAGCAATCCTTCAATCTTGGTTTCACATTATAATAGCTACTGAACTAAAAGACTTGGTTCACTCCATGGGAAGACGTTGTAAGGCCGTAATTCATGCTAAAGGTTACCCAACTAAGTATTAACTGACATGGGGATAATTTTTTTATATCTCATTTTTTCTACATGTTTCAATTTTCTTCTTTATACTGTAGCACTCGGAGGCTCCAACTGGCGCAGAGTGCGGCCGCGCGGGTGGTGACGGGAGCGACATGGTGCTCCCATGTAACACCTCTCCTGCGCGAGCTGCACTGGCTCCCGGTGGTCTTCCGAGTGCGCTTCAAGGTTTTGGTTATCACTTTTAGAGCGCTCCATGGCTTAGGACCTGGTTATTTATGGGACCGCCTGCTACCACCAATAGCCTCCCACCGACCAGTACGCTCCCATAGAGAGGGGCTCCTCCGGGTGCCGTCGGCCAACTGGCGGCCCCCAGGGGGAGAGCCTTCTCTGTGGGGGCACCTGCTATCTGGAACGAGCTCCCCCCGGAGATACGGAGGATCCCGGATCTGCGTAACTTCCGTCGCGTGCTCAAGACTTTCTTATTTCATCAAGCTTGCCTGACCTAAGTCTTTACCCTTTTTAAATGGAAATTTTAAATTTGGTTTTAAATTATTGGGGTTTTAAATTTGTTCAGCCAAATTATTTAATTCGTTTTATTCTATTTTAAATTTTGTATTTTTATGTTTTATTCTATGGCTGTTCACCGCCCTGAGTCCTTCGGGAGTAGGGCGGTATACAAATTCAATAAAATGAAATGAAATGAAAACTGTAACTGCTGTTCTAATAGCAAATCTGTCATAAAAGTTATTGCATTACATTCTTGATTAAATTATCTTTCCATTGATATATAATTTTATATATGGTACTACTCCAAAAAAAAAAAAAAGTGGTGTTATTAGCTAGTTTTAGAAAATGCACTTTTCCCAAAAGGTTCCCACAATTTTGGCCACTACTGTAATTCCCTATATCTTAAAATCTCTCATGTGAGGTTTCCTTGTTATCGTTTCATCAAAGGCTTCCTTTTCCCAAACCTTTAGGAATGTAATCTCATATAAAGCTGTGGTCGTTTTTGATTTCTTGTTTCTTTAATGATTCTTTAATCATTCTGTTCTTTTTTTGTAAACTCCCTTGGAAATATGGATTGGAGAATGATGATGCCTATAATATCTGTAATAAATATTAATAATTTATCCAGTTCAGGAGTGAGAAGAACCATAACTGTGAAATTAGATTTGCACAGTAACAAAAAAGGTTTTAATGGAAATAGTTGGCTTAGTTCCAACTCTTAAAGCTGGAACTTAAAGCTCTTAAAATATGGCCGCCTCAGTACCATCCGGCACTAACATGAGCAGGAGATGCCACAGATTTGTGGGCTCCACTGTGGTAGCACAAAGAGTGGGGCCCAGAAACAGGGTCTTTCTTTTGCTGCAGCACCCCAAATGGGGTCTCAAAAGTGCTTTTTTAAAAAAGGCAGCTGGACTTTTGTTTTTTCCCTTGAGGAAGGCATTTCGCTTCTCATCCAAGAAGCTTCCTCAGTTCTGAGTGATTGGTTTCATTCTATGGTGATAATTTTTGTATATCTTGGTTTTTCTACGTGTTTCACTTTTCTTCTTTATACTGTAACTGCTATTCTAATAGCAAATCCTTCCTAAAAGTTATAGCATTACATTCTTGATTAAATTATCTTTCCATTGATATATAATTTTAGGGTACTACTCAAAAAAAAAGTGGTGTTATTAGCTAGTTTTAGAAAATACACTTTTCCCAAAAGGTTTCCACAATTTTGGCCACTACTGTAAGTCGAAATCTCCCTCTATACCTTAAAACAGATATTGAAATCACATCTTCTGAATGTGGTGCTTGTTCTGTCTTTTTGGTCAGGTGGAAGCCGGGCACCAGTGGTATCTTCAAGTGATCTACGTCATCGGTCCCGAGATGATTGGGGGGTCCCGGATGCCACGTTCTGTGGTACATCATTCAAAGCGCGGCCGCCGAGACCTTGTGGACCACAAAGGTGTCCCTGTTCTGGATGACTCCTTGATTTACGACAACGAGGGAGACCAAATGAAGAATGGCACTAACATGAAGTCTCTCAGCCTGGAGCAACAGGAAGCCGTCACCGTGGCCTCTCTCTCTCAGACCGGAGCTTCCATTGGCAGCGGCTTTGCGGCCGTCCTGCTTCTCGTCCTCGTCCTCTTGTCCATCTGCTTTGTCACCAGGAAGTGTCGGAAGCACCGGAAGAAGAAGAAGAAGAAAGCGGCCAAAGAGATCGCAGAGCAGTACCCTCTCAACACGAAAGTCGAGGCAGCCAAGCGGTACGCCGAGGGCCTGGAGAAGAACGTCAGCGGACAATACTGCACGGTGAAGAACCTCAACCTCCTCTGTGAAAACGAAGGTGCCTATAAGGTTAGGGGAACGAGGGTCAAGCAGATGAACCTGGAAGTGAAAGTTCATAACAATTTACACGACGGGACCGAAGTTTAATGGCCTGCGCCTTTGGGAAAGGGGGAAGAAATGTCTTTATATATATATATATATATAAATTGTAAAAAAAAAAAAAAATGAGGGGAAGAGGAGAAACCTTCTATAATTTTTTCTAAAAAATTCTTCCCCCCACCCCCACCTCGTTCTGGTATTTTTATAGTAGTCATGTGAGGAAAAGGGAAGAACAAAATCTTTGCATTTTGTTTGCTTAAGCCAGAGGTCTCCAAACGTGACGGCTTTAAAATTTGTGGACTTCAACTCAGGGGTGTGCTTCAAAAAATTTAGCAAGGGGTTCTCTGCCCGGTTGCTGGGTAGTCGTGCCCATGGTGGGCGTGGCCTAGTTGGCCTCCTGCACCATGGCGGGGGTGCGTTTTTGCCCTCCCCGGGCTCCGGAAGCCTTCCTCGAGCTTCTGGGAGGGCGAAAATGGCCTCCCCAGGCTCCAGAGGCCCTCTGGAGGCCGGAAAAGGGCCCATCTCTGGCCTTCAAGAACTTCCAGTAGGCCCATTTTTCACCCTCCCCGAGCCTCCGTGCGCCCTGCACTTACCTGCATCCAAAACGGGTCGCGTGGGGACTCCGGGGAGGGGGCAGCCAGGAATGGGATTTGGAGGTTCTCCGAACTGCACAGAATCTTAGCTAGAGGTTCTCCTGAACCCCTGCGAACCCCCAGCAGCCCACCCCTCCTTCAACTTCCATGGCTGAGGAATTCTGGGAATTGAAGTCCACCAAGTTGCCAAGGTTGGAGCCCCCCCTGGCTTAAGCAATGATCAAGCAAGGTATCTTTGCATGCTTCCACTCTACCAAGGAGCTACCTCAAGGAAAGCCAAACCACCCAAGGAGAAGAAGGACCGTAACTCATCTCCTATAAAAGCCACCTTGGAGGGGGCCACGGCCACGGCCACGCACCTCCAATCTCGCTACGGTTCCCACAAGACCTCTTCTCTTGTTGGCCTGTTGACTTCTCTTTGCAGAACTGGTTGAATCAAAACAAAACAAAAAACAAAGATGCCTTGCTCGTGTCTACTTCGGAGGTAGAAGAAGCACAATATGGAAATTATGTATGGGACAGCAAGATGCCCCTGGATTTCCCCCAATTCAGCTGACGGATGAAGGATTGGCACTTCCAATGATGCCTTGGTTTGACCGTTTTGTATTAACTTACTTCTGTGGGAAGACTTTCACACCGGTTTCTCCAGATGGAAGGATGAAATAATGGCTTCCCTTTGAAACCCAGATGCCTTGAGGACAACAGAGGGTCTCTCTATCAGACTCATGTAATTTCGGTGGGCCATCAGATCCCTAGAAGCAGTTGTTGAGATGATACCAATATGGGTTCTTGATGTTCTCTAAGCTTGGCTGTGTTCCTGCAGAGGTTTCACTACCATCCCTGCTAGGAAGTGCAACTATGATATGTATTATTATTGGATACTGGCTTGGTTTACTATCGGATAACAGCCATGGCTAACAGCTCAAAAAAGTGTGTTAATTACCCCTGAATGTTGAGTGATGCTGATGCATCACTTGTCACAGATGATCTGGTCCCTACAAAAGTCACCTTTGCATGGACACCAAATTGGCGGTAGAGCAGCTGGGGTGCCCCAAACTTTTTCCAAGTAGATCCGTTGAGATCTCCTAAGTTACCCCCTAAAGCAGCGGTCCCCAACCTTTCTAGCTTGGCAGCCTGGCTTAGGGTGTGTTTGTGTGAGTGGCGCATGCACAGCTGCATGGAGCTCCTTCACGGGAGCGAAGCTTCACACACACACTTGCCCATTTCTCCCATAGCCTAGTTTCGAAACGGTTGCAGCCCGGGAGTGGGCCATGGGCCAGGGGATGGGGACCCCTGCCGTAAAGCTTAGGAAGTTCTGATATAGCAGTGACAGCTAACCTTTTGGGCACCAAGTGCCGAAATTGGAGCGCGCGCCCCAGAGCGCCATGCACCCCAGCCAGCTGCTCTCTTCCAGGTTCCAGCGTATGCATGCGCGCCTGACAGCTGGTCTTCGTGGGAACCTAGAAGAGAGCAGCTGTCCGATGCTCATGCACACGATGGAACCTGGAAGAGCAGCTAGAAACGGCGCGTGTGCCGACAGAGATGGTTCTGCATGCCACTTCCGTCACGCGTGCCATAGGTTCCCCACCAGTGATGGCTAACCTTTTTGCTGTCGCATGCCAAAAGTGGGGGGAGCACGGGGGAGTTGCGTGCGTGCCCACACCCACAATTCAATGAGCTCCCCCGCCCCCGCGCATGCACACGTGACCCCCCCCGTGCTCCCCCTGTTTTTGGCACGCGATGGCCCGGTGAGCCCAGTAGCCCCATTTTCCGCCCTCCCCAGGCTCCAGAGGCTTTCTAGGAGTGAAAACGGCCTTCCCCACCCCCGTGAAGGCCCTCTGAAGGCTGGAAACGGCCCGTTTGCCAACTTCCGGTGTGCCCGGAAGGCCCAAAAAAATCAGTTGGCCTGTGTGCTCATGCGCGCTGCAGCTGAGCTAGGGCAATGCTCGCGTGCCCACAGATATGGCTCCGTGTGTCACCTGTGGCACGCTTGCTATACGTTCGCCATCACGGATATAGGGTCATAATGTTCTTGGATATTTCTTACAAATTGGACAAAGAGTTAATTTGAAGTAATTTGGCAAACTGAAAAGCTGAACATGACACTCTGTCCCCATGCCATTGGCATTTCTTCAGCAAGGTACCTTGAAGAAGTTTTTATAATGTTCTTATCTCCAGGTGACAAACCGCCAACTCATTCTGCCAAGCAGGAATAATTGAGAATGAGCCATTTTTTTTGGTTGTAAGAAACTTTTTGTAGATCAGTTTTCAAGGGCACACCTTAAATCTCTATAAAGGGGCAACCTAACCTAAGAAATAAGAGCGCCATTATTTTTCTCACATTGTCCATTGTTGTTCCACCTTATTTTGAAATATCTGCTATAATGATTCCCCCCCCTTTTTTTTTGGTCCTAAATGCAGATTTTTTAAAAAAAATATTCTTTTAGAAAATAGGCAGTACTTTGGAACAGAAAATCACCTGTGCCAAAATTGTTGCTAAAGTTAGTTTCTAATGCTAACTAGGAATCCTTCTGTGTATCAGCATAATTTAATTCAGAAACCTTCCCCCAACATAAGACATATTCTGATAGTAAGCCCAATTGGGCTTTTGAGTTGCATGGCAATAAGGCCAAGCGCTTATTTCAGGGTTCAAAAAAATATAAGACAGGGTCTTATTTTCGGGGAAACACTGTAGTGTGGTGTAAAGCAGCAAGTAACTCATGTTCTGTGTAGAAATCTAATTCAGTAGACTTCATAGAGCGAGAGCGTCTAACTTTTAAGACCTCTGGACTTCAATTACCAGAATTCCCCAGCCAGCATGGGGAATTGGCTAGGGAATTCTGGGAGTTGAAGTCCACAAGGCTTAAAGTTGCCGAGTTCCCTAGCATAAACACTTGATTTAAGCCAGTTGGTCCTGGATTTTGGTACATCACGTTGATTATGCAAATGTCTGAATAATTCACAAGCTCCTAACTCCCAAAAGCCACATTCTCCAAATTACTTACCAAAGCTGGTTCAGGGTAAAATGAATCTTAATTTTGAAAGCATGCGGAGATACTTGTAAACCTGGTTCCAAAAACAGCCTGATTACATGCGATAAACTGGTTTTCCTTATAATTTAATGTCTTCTCAGAGTGCGAGATTTTTTTTACCTTGCATTCTGTTTACCAGCGAATTTGAATTTATTAGGTACCAAACTGGAGAAGGCAGCAGGAACTTTGCAATCACCTGATGGAAAAACAACCGACTCACCATGTACATCAAAACAAGATTAAGGTTCATTTGACTTGCTTTCTCATAACACTAATGGTGTCTCTTGAGCTGCCCCGTGCGGCTTGCATACATGTTTATTAATGCAGGACACCAAGTGGAGGAGAATCATGTTAAATTTCTTCCTGGGCCTACACTGACATGACAAGCCATTGTATCATAAGAGGAAAACATCCTAAACTTTAGGACCTAAAGGGACAGAACTCAACTTCTTCTTCTTCTCCTTCTCCTTCTCCTTCTCCTTCTCCTTCTCCTCCTTCTCCTTCTCCTCCCTTTCTTTTCTTCTTCTCCTTCTCCTTCTCCTTCTCCTCCTCCTCCTCCTCCCCTCCCCTCCTCTCCCTTTCTTTTCTTCTTCTTCTTCTCCTCCTCCTCCTCCTCCTCCTCCCCTCCCCTCCCTTTCTTTTCTTCTTCTTCTCCTCCTTCTCCTTCTCCCCTCCCTTTCTTTTCTTCTTCTCCTTCTCCTCCTCCTCCTCCCCTCCCCTCCCCTCCCTTTCTTTTCTTCTTCTTCTTCTCCTCCTCCTCCCTTCCCCTCCCTTTCCCTTCTTCTTCTTCTTCTTCTCCTCCTCCTCCTCCTCCTCCTTCTTCTTCTCCTCCCCCTCCCTTTCTTCTTCTTCCTCTTCTTCTTCTTCCTCTCCTCCTCCTCCTCCTTTTCTTTCTTCTTCACCACCTTATTACAGGCAGTCCTCGACTTGCGATCACAATTGAGCCCAACCTTTCTGCCGCTGAGTGAGACATTCGTTAAGAGAATTGTGTGCTCCATTTTGTGAGCTTCCTCGCCACGGTCGTTAGGCGAGCCACTCCAGTTTGTCAAGTTAGCGACCCGGTGGTTATGCAAATCCGGCTTCCCCGTTGACTTGGCTTCTGAGAAGGGGATCCCATGATCCCAGTGGGAAACTGCAACCGTCATAAATAAGAGCCAGTGGACAAGGGTCTGAATTTTGATCACGCGACCATGGGAATGCTGCAATGGTCGTTAAGTGTGAAAAAAACGGTGCTAAGTCACTTTTTTCAATGGTGGCATAACTTTGAAGCGAACTGTTGTTAAGTCGAGGACTATCTAAGTGGGTGCTGGTAATTTGAGTAGAAGCAGGAAATTCTTCCCTACAGTCACTAAGTGTTAAATCCAACAACTGGAATTTCTACTAGTAGAACAGAGCTGAGCATTTTATGGTTTCCAAGCCACATCCAGTCCTATGACTATTCTTGTCCTTTTCTGGTCCGCGTGGATTGCTTTTATTTTAAAGGAAACTGCTATTTATTTTTTATTCCCCCAAATCTAACAGATATGAGTGCAAGCCCATGCACCTTCCCGGCCCTATCAGTTCAATCTTCCACAACAGTTCCAGTGGCCTCTTGGGAAAATTAGTTGCCCACCTGTTTGTTTAGAATATTCCTCCACTTCAGAAGTTTTTGTTGGTCTGTGCACAACTGAAACTGAATAAGCCCACATCTTCATTTTCAAAGACTTTTTTGTAAGATAGCACACACAGAGGCATGTAGGTATGATGTGGTGTAGGTGGGAACTTAACGGTGGTGTGGGACCTCCACGGAAATGAATTGGAAAACAATTGACCTGGTGTGAATCTTCATAGAAACCCCTCCCCCCCACAAGCTTTCTGTGGCAGGAAAGAAAAATCTGGGATAATAAACCACAAACCAGAGTTTCCTACGGAATATGAATATTTACACTGGTTTGTGTTCGCAAAGTGCTGTTGTTCAGCTCAGGGAATCCATCCGTCCTTGTGATATATGAGAATGACCCCTTTGGGTGCCAAAGCTCGGTGGGTATCAAAAGTTGTTGTGCCCACATTAAATGCCTAGATTTGGCTCTGGAAAATCCAAACGCTGATGGGACCAGCTTTGGAGATCTTCAGAGGTGGTATTCAGCCGGTTTGGGGAAACCGGCAGCAGAGATCATGGGTGGGCCTGCCCCCCTCCCCGCCCCGGCTCTATGCCGTCCTATTTAGGCCCGGTTTTGAGGATGGGCACATGCGTGGAAGGCCGGGTAGCAACAAAATGTGAAGCCCACCACTGGAGATCTTGCTTCTCCACGAAGCCCATGGATGATCTTGAAGAAGTCACAGTCTCTCCACAGGAGCTTCCTGAGGTTAGGAGATGCCCCTGCCGTTCTCCGTGGTAATATTGCAGGATGAAAATACAATGTACACAGAGGCATTGCGTTGTTGTCATTCTGGACAATTGTTTGTGCCAAAATATTATCCCCAAACGGCCAACGTGCTCCATGAATGAGATTGGCCTGCCTGGTCACTGGGAAATTTTGAGGAGCCTACCTGAAAGGTACAACATTAGTGTCACGTAGGTGGGCATTTGTAAAAAAATAAATAAATAAATATGACAGTGTTGTAACAGCAAGACACGGGAGCACCTCCGCTGTCTCCTATGCTGCCTGAAGGCATTTATTATAAATGTTACCGCTGACACGGCAGACAAGGAAATCTGCCTTCTCTGGATAGATTTTAATTGTCCTCTTGTTTTTCATGGCACACTGTCCTTCCAGAAAGCTCTTCTGGTGCCCCAAAGTGACTTCATCTGGTGCTGTCCACCGTGTTTCCTCGAACCTCAGTAATGTTCTGTATTTCAGAGCATCAGTCTACTTGTTATTCCCATGATGCCTTTCTGTTGTTGTCTTTGCTAATAAACCACCTTTCGTTAACTTTTTAATAAAAGCTGCCTTCAGCCTGCAGGATTTCTTTCTTTTTTTATATATTCCTTTTCAAAAAGCTGTTCTAAAGGTTGAACCTTGGTACCCTTTAACACAGAAGTGTCAAACTCAAGGCCCAGGCACTGGATCCAGCCCACAGGCCCACCCTGGAAACAGCAAACAGCCTTGGTAGTACAGTGGTCTAAGGCACCCTGTTATTAAGCTGGTTATTAACACCAGCTGCCTGCAATTACTGCAGGTTTGAATCTCGCCAAGGCTCAAGGTTGACTCAGCCTTCCATCCTTTCTAAGGTAGGTAAATTGAGGACCCAGTTTGTGGGGGCAATAAGCTGACTTTGTATAAATATACAAAAGGATGAAGGCTATTGCTGAGCACATTGTAAGCCACCCTGAGTCTCCGGAGAAGGGCGGCATATAAGTCAAATTTAAAAAAAAAAAAAAAAGGACTGTCCCATGGTACCTCTGCCAGTGAAAACGGAGCTTGGGAGGGCCATGCGCGGCTCACCCGGACTCCATTTTCAGCCACGACGGCCTCCTGCAGCCCTCTGCCAGCAAAAATGGAACCTGGGTGGGCGGCTTACAGCCCCGAGTTCTGTTTTCGCTGGCAGAGGAGGCCGTCGGGCCAAAAACGGAGCCTTGATGAGTGACGTCGAGCTGGCCACGCCCCCAGCCCCCGAGGTCAAACAACCCTGATGTGGCCCTCAATGAAATCGAGTTTGACACCCCTGCTTTAACAAAATGTAGAAGAAGACATTAACAATTTTGAATGCTGTTAATGGGGGGTGGAGGGTGGAAATGGTAGGTTGCGTCCGGAATTGGTTTTGCTAATAGGGCAGGGGACATTAAGAAGATCCTTGAGTTGGCTTCACACCATCCTGACCAGTCTAAGGTTTAGTGGCATGGCTTCCCCTTTGTGAGAAAGGTTGCGGTTGCCTAACTGTGTTGTGTGATCTTCTGATCCTTTCCCTGCTTACATATCTATGGAGATACTCCGTGATCCAAGTCATGGTTGTCCCAAAGGTGCTTTTTCAAAAGGCAACTGGAGCAGGCGTGAAATCCAAAATTTTTCCCTACTGGTTCTGTGGGCGTGGCAGGAGAAGGATATTGCAAAATCTCCATTCCCATCCCACTCCACGGGAAGGATACTGCAAAATCTCCATTCCCTCTCCTCCTGGGGGAAGGATATTGCAAAATCTCCATTCCCACCCCACTCGGGGGCCAGACAGAGGTGGTATTTGCCGGTTCTCAGAACTACTCAAAATTTCCGCTACCGGTTCTCCAGAACCTGATAGAATCTGCTGGATTTCACCTCTGAACTGGAGGTAGTTTTTTTCCTTGAAGACGTCTCTCCTCTCATCCAAGAAGTTTCTTCACTTCTTGGATGAGAAGTGAAACGTCTTCAAGGAAAAAAGAATAGAATAGAATAGAATAGAATAGAATAGAATAGAATAGAATAGAATTCTTTATTGGCCAAGTGTGAATTTGTCTTGGTGTATACGCTCTCAGTATACATAAAAGAAAAAATACATTTGTCAAGAATCATAAGGTACAATACTTAATGATAGTCATAGAGAAACAGTCAATATAAATCTTAAGGATACCAGCAACAAGTTTACAGTCATACAGACATAAGTGGGAGGAGATGAGTGATAGGAACGATGTGAAGATTAATAGTAATGCAGACTTAGTAAATAGTTTGACAGTGTTGAGGGAATTATTTGTTAGCAGAGTGATGGCGTTCGGGGAAAAACTGTTCTTGTGTCTAGTTGTTCTGTGTGAAGTGCTCTATAGCGTCGTTTCATATAATGATCTCCAGTTGCCTTTTGAAAAAGCACTTTTCTGCACAATACCAATCCGTGCCTCAGTTACCTTAAACGGGGTTTATCTAGATGGAGAGGGAAATGTGTGATAGGAGCTCGCCTGCCCATTGACTATGACAAGAGAAGGGAATCTTAACTTGGTTTGAGACTGTCCCATGCCTTTTAGGAATACACGTGAGAAAAACGATCATGTTAAGATTATACTTAACACACTTAATATAAAGAGGGTTACTTACTTACCAGCTTACTACATTTATAGGCCAACTCACAGTGACACTGAACAGCTTACAGAAAGTAAACCCCGAATATAAAACCCAATACACCCTCTTCCTTGGTGACAACATTCAATCAAGTCATTTGATGGGCTGCGTATCAATCTGGGATCTTTAGGTCTGCAGGCAAAAAAAAAAACGTATCTTCAGGGCCTTTCAGAACAGTATTGAGGTGGAGCCCAGTTTTACCTCTGCTGGGATGATGTCCCATTGGGTTAAAGCCACAACCGAGAAGGCCCTTCTTGATCCCTCTAGATCAGGGGTCTCCAACCTTGGCAACTTTAAGCCTGTAGGACTTCAACTCCCAGAACCCCCAGCCAGCAAAGGCACCCATTTCCTTCCCCTTTCTCACAAAGACCCCCAGGAACTGACTTGGCCTCCAGAAGTTGTGGCTGATCCAACACTGAAAGTTTTGAAAGAAGAGATTGGACGGCCATTGGTCTGAAATGGTATAGGATTTCCTGCTTGACCAGAGGGTTGGACTAGAAGACCTCCAAGGTCCCTTCCCGACTCTGTTATGCTGTTAAAACTCCCCAGTCTTGCTTCTAAAGAGGATGCAACCTGCTTGGTGGTCCTTCAAAAACTCTCTGGCCAAAAATTAAAGATTGGCTACAGGAAATTATTAATGATTGGGGATCCCCTATTGGGGATCTTCAAATATATTGCTCCTGGAAGCACGAAGCCGAGAACACCAGCCTGAAGATGACGAATGAGACTTCGTCGAAACGTCGCCAAGACACTTCCAATTTTACGTGGGAGAAGACCCGAATAACCAAAGACCTATATATATATATATATATATATACACACACACACACACACATATATATATATATATACACACACATATATATATATATATACATATATATATATATATATATATATATAATAACATATACATATTATATATATACATATACATATACATATATACATATATACATACACACACACACACACACTACATATATATGGATATATATATATATATATATATGCATATATATATAGGGAAGCTATGGGTTCCAAACGAAACAAGGCCTGAAGATGACAGGGTTGTGAGCCTGTCGAAACGTTGCTATAAGAGAAACTTTTAAAGTCATTGGTAGGATTTTAGCTGAGGTTTTAAAGGACCTTGCAGAGTGCTCTGTAGGGATTTTTAGAAAATTTTAAGCTGGGATTTTAACCAGAGTTTTAAACAATTTAACCAACTTATTTACAATGACGCGGGAAAACGCCCAAGATTTTAATTTTTTGCATATGCACACCCACGAAAACTTAAGAAGACATATATATGTGTGTGTGTGTGTATGTATGTATGTATGTATGTATGTTTGTGACGGGCACAAAATATCTAGTACTACACATATTAACCACTGCCAGGATTGCCGACGCTCACATGTACACCCGCAGAGAAACTGGTCATACAAAAGATCATGAATTGCGCAGAAATGGACAAATTAATGCTGAGTTTAAAAGATGAAGAGACATCGATATTTTACAAAATGTGGGAACAGTGGTATAACTGGATAGAACGGAGCTAGATTGAAGATAGATCGTTATTAAGTCCAAGTCATAGATAAAATAAGAATGTAAATACGCACAATTTAATTTTTGTAACTAATGCATGAATTATTGTCCCAAGAAAAACACCACAATTAGCTGTTGTTGAGTGAAATCATTTTTTATGTTTTTAATGTCATAAAAGTTTAATAAAGTGTTTACAAAAAAATAATAATAATACTCCTCTCCGGCCACCAGACTGGGTGCCTATTAGTGGGCCAATGCTGGACAAGGAAAGAAAAGCCACAAAGGCGCCCCCTCTCGGAAGAAGTGCAGTCCTGCTGCTGGTCAAGGTTGTCCAGCCCCCCTTTCCTCCTCCTTCTCTTCCTCCTCCTCCTCCTCACCTCCGGGCAGGTGGAGCCAGCGCAGGGCGGGAACGAAGCACCACTACTTTTCCCAAGCGCTGCGCCAGGCGTAGCTACTCTTCCCCTTCGCAAGTTCACAGTACGGGACTGTTGCTTCGGGTAAGTCTCTCCCCTCGATTTCTTCCCTGCACCCCGAGACTTGGATGGGGGGGGGGGGGGGTAGGACGCCTGCAAAGCCCGGGAGTCGGACGGGAGGGATGGGGGTCGCTTTCCTGGCCATCCGCTCTTGCAAGCTTCCCACCCCTCTCCTCCTCCTAACCTTCCCACCCCAGACACAACTCACCCCTTGCTCTTTGCGCCCAGCCTGGGATCAGGAGGACTCCCGTCTCCGGTGGCCTCGGCGCCTGCAGCTTCCACTTCGCCTCCCCAATCTCTTGGGAGATCCGAGGGGGGTAGCTAGATGGGGTCCCACCACCCCCAGGGAGAGAGGGGGAGGATCTGTCCAAGGTGGAGGACGGAGCGCCTCGTTCCAGCTTCTTCTTTGCGCAACAGAGAACGCGCGCCCTGCCCCGATTGCGCCTTCTCTGTTGCGCGCTGCCCTGCTCCTTTCCTGGACATCTCTCCCCCACCCCACCCCCTTACAAAGAGGAAGAAAAGAAACCGAAATTCTTTCTTTTCTTTCTTTTCTCTTTTCTTTCCCCCTTCTTTCTTCTTCTTCTCTCTCTGTCTCTCTCTCTCTCTTTCCTTCACTTTCTCTTTCTCAATTAATTAGAGTCACCGCCTGTCTCCAATTGGACCTGGGTAGCTGCCAGCTGAGTGCATGGGTCTCACTCCCTCTCTGTCTGACTGTCTGTCTGTCTCTCTCTCTTTTTTTTCCTTCCTTCCTTCCTTCCCTTTTTCTCTCTCTCAAATAGTGTCACCACCTGTCTCCAACTGGCCCTGGACAGCTGCCAGCTGAGTGCATGGGTCTTCCTCCCTGTCTCTCTCTCTGTCCCTCCTTCCTTCCTTCCTTCCTTCCCTTTTTGTCTCTCAATTAAATAGAGTCACCGCCTGTCTCCAATTGGACCTGGATAGCTTCCAGCTGAGTGCATGGATCTGTCCGTCCTTCCTTCCTTCCTTCCTTCCTTCCTTCCTTCCTTCCTTCCTTCCCCTTTTTGTCTCTCAATTAAATAGAGTCACCGCCTGTCTCCAATTGGACCTGGATAGGTGCCAGCTGAGTGCATGGGTCTGTCTGTCCTCCTTCCTTCCTTCCTTCCTTCCTTCCTTCCTTCCTTCCTTTCCTTCCCTTTTTGTCTCTCAATTAAATAGAGTCACCGCCTGTCTCCAATTGAACCTGGATAGCTGCCAGCTGAGTGCAATAGGTCTGTCTGTCCTTCCTTCCTTCCTTCCTTCCCTTCCTTCCTCCTTCCTTCCTTCCTCTTCCCTTTTTGTCTCTCAATTAAATAGAGTCACCGCCTGTCTCCAACTGGCCCTGAACATCTGCCAGCTAAATGCATGGGTCTCTCTCTCTCTCCCCCTCCCTCCCTTCCTCTCTCCCTCTCTCTTACTCCCTCCTTCTCTCTCTCTCTTTCAGATTTTGACTCAATCTATCTGCAAAGTCTATGAGAAGTTTGTTTTTTTCTTTCTGCAACAGTCTACTAATGATTTGGTACCGTTTCTTCTGGGATGTGATTTCCTGGTGGTGTCCTTTTCAAGCACTGACCGGATCTCATCCCATTTTGCTAGAATGTTTGTGTCTGTAGTCCTTGATAGGGATGTGCAATTAGGTTCTTTAGAGAATAGCACGTAGGCTCCCCATCTTCCCATCAAGCAATTTATGTTTCAGTTAAAATGTTTCTTTAAAACAGAAACAAACAAACAAAATCGGGATCGAACTGTTACTCTCACAACCTGGTCGCTTTCCTTGCCTGCTCGTTTTTCCCATGATCGAATTACTAACCAAAGTTTTCTTTATGTGAGTCAGACTTTGTTGGCACATTCAGTTTTCTTTGGCAACTATGAATGTGGTTTGTTTTTGCTTTCTTCTGAATCTATTTACTTTTCAAATTCTTAATCTGGGAGGTCCCCTTTCCACGTCTCATCAGCCGAGACTCACCTGATGCAGCTATTCATGATCCTCTTAAGTTTCAGCGGGTGCAGCAATATTTTACTCCGGCCAACTTCTGAAGCTAATTTTTAAAATAATGATAATAATAATAACAACTGTTATATTAAAAAGTAAAATGTCCATGGTAGGGTGACAAGGCCACCTGAATGAGATCAAAGAGACGTGGCCCTCTACAGAACAGGGCTGAGAAATTTATGGTCTCCAGATATTGATTGATAAACTATCTTTTCTAGTGCAGGAAGATGGGAAATATAGTTCCACAGCATTTAGGGACAGTTTGGTCTAGTGGTTAAGGCACCAGACTAGAAACAAAGTGATGATGAGTTTTAGGCCCGCCTTACGCATGAAAGCCAAGTGGGTGACTCTGGGCCAATCACTGGGATACTGGGAGTTCTAGTCCCGCCTTAGGCATGAAAGCCAAGTGGGTGACTCTGGGCCAATCACGGGAGACTGAGAATTCTAGTCCCGCCTTAGGCATGAAAGCCAAGTGGGTGACTCTGGGCCAATCACCGGGAGGACTGAGAATTCTAGTCCCGCCTTAGGCATGAAAGCCAAGTAGGTGACTCTGGGCCAATCACTGGGATACTGGGAGTTCTAGTCCCGGCCTTAGGCATGAAAGCCAAATGGGTGACTCTGGGCCAATCACCAGGAGACTGGGAATTCTAGTCTGCCTTAGGCATGAAAGTAGTGGGTGACTCTGGGCCAATCACTGGGATACTGGGAGTTCTAGTCCCGCCTTAGGCATGAAAGCCAAGTGGGTGACTCTGGGCCAATCACCGGGAGACTGAGAATTCTAGTCCCGCCTTAGGCATGAAAGCCAAGTGGGTGACTCTGGGCCAATCACCGGGAGACTGAGAATTCTAGTCCCGCCTTAGGCATGAAAGCAAGTAGGTGACTCTGGGCCAATCACTGGGATACTGGGAGTTCTAGTCCCGCCTTAGGCATGAAAGCCAATTGGGTGACTCTGGGCCAATCACCAGGAGACTGGGAATTCTAGTCCTGCCTTAGGCATGAAAATCAAGTGGGTGACTCTGGGCCAATCACTGGGATACTGGGAGTTCTAGTCCCGCCTTAGGCATGAAAGCCAGGTGGGTGATTCTGGGCCAATCACCGGGAGACTAGGAATTCTAGTCCCGCCTTAGGCATGAAAGCCTAAGGGCCAATTCCTCTCTGAGTCAAACCACATCACGGTGTTGGGGGGAAAAATAGAAGGAGGAACCAGTATTGGGTATATTTCCCCCTTGAGTTATTTATAAAAATAGAGGCAGGATTAGACAAACAAACAAATTTTAAAATCCACAACTTCCCTCCCCCATTTCCAGTAGATAGTGCTAATCTGAACCAACAGAGACTTTTATGGGTTTCCCAATTCTTGCACCCTTGAATTTCAAAACAGAGAGAACCGGTTGAAGGATGCTCAATCCAATTTAGGAGTAAGTCCTGAGTTGAGCTCTTTACTGCCTCCCTTGCATATACTCCTTAAACCTGACTTTCCTCTTTTCAAATACAAAACCTGAGAAGAACGTTTATTAGAAATCCATGAAGATAGAAAATAAATTCCATCTCGGAGGAAAAGAAGGGCTAAGGAAAAAGAATTCTGCTTGCTGGCCTTTCTTATTTCTATACATGACCCAAAGCAAGCAGAATCACCATTCGGTGAAATTGCTTTACTCCCATTTGCATTCCTGGTGATTAAAATCCAACAAATTAGGAAGATAGAGACTAACTCTGAGCTGGACTCTTTTCTCTGCTTGGTCCAACTGGACAACCTTTTTTCAAGTCAAAATTCCCTTCCTGCTTTCTTGGGTGAGTTCAGATAACTCCCCAAAGCATAGTTTCTTTTGAGTAAGAAATTTCCTTTAAGTGGGAACTGGGGAACTCCGTTCCCAAGGCTTACTATCTGCCAAAGGAAGAGTAGAACAGACTCACTCTGTTCAAGGGGTAAACTTATGAATGGAGTTTGCTGTGTGTAACAGGATCTGCAAAAGGAGGATTTGCAGAGAAAAACAATCACAACACTATTTTCAGAGGCTGCTAAAGTTGTTTTCCAGTGTCTGCTGATCCAAATGCAAATGAAAACTGCTGTTCTTTAATCTTGGATATGTTTTGCAGTTGCACCTTAGATAGGAAGCAATAAAATAACAAATTTGGAGAGGAAAGGATTGCTAGACTTAGAGGCAACAGAGAACAGCCACATAAAACTTCCCTCTTTTTTTTTTTTTTTTTTTTTTTACAATAGTAAACATTTTATTACAGAATCAGAACTCATATCATTAGCTGATGTCATGTCAAGGAAGGCTCCAAGTGAATTTTGGGGGAAATAATAAGAATAGGAATTTTATAAGATACCTCAACAAATTGCAGCTTCCTGCAATAACACCAGCGGAACTGCAAAAAACTGTGCTACTTAGAACATCGTGCATCTTAAAAAGGTATTTGGTTGATACCTAGGATGCTGGCAGCAACCCGTATCGACCATTAGCACCAGTCAATGGTATTTGTGATGCATTTCTGAATGTTCAGTTGACTAAGTTTCATGTTTAATGAATTTTTTTTTAAAAAAAAAAATTGATTTATATGCTGCTCTTCTCTGGAGACTCAGGGCGGCTTACAATGCGTTAAGCAATAGCCTTCATCCTTTTGTATATTTATAGAAAGTCAGCTTATTGCCCCCACAAACCAGGTCCTCATTTTACCCACCTTAGAAAGGATGGAAGGCTGAGTCGACCTTGAGCCTGGCGAGATTCGAACTCACAGTAATTGCAGGCAGCTGGATGTTAATCACAATGCTATCAGTCTGCTGAGCTACCAGGCCCTGGTGATAAAGAGATAATAATAAAATACTAATACTAATACTAATAATAATAGGAATAGGTTTTCAGTGGGATCAATGATCCTGAGAAATAGCCACCAACTTTTTTCTTTTAAAAAAATATGTTCAATCAGAGGATAAACAGCCATTTGATGGTGGGGGTCAGTGTCCTTTTGTTCCCTGCATGGCACACAATTGAATTCATCCTTGTTTAATAACCCGATTTATTGTTTTTTTGCAGCATCTTCGTGAAAACAGATAATCATGATTTCTACTTGGGTAAGTCAAATTATTTTTTTCAGATTTATTTCTTTAGGCTAAACAGATCAAGTCTTAAAGTTGCCAAGTTTGGAGACACCCTTAATCTAATGTATCTGCTTGAGCAGGGGGTTGGACTAGAAGACCTCCAAGATCCCTTCCAGCTTCTATTCTATTCTATTCTATTCTATTCTATTCTATTCTATTCTATTCTATTCTGACTGTATTACTGTAATTTTGTTGTTTGTATGCTTAAAATTTATATTGATATTGTTTCCTGATTACTTATTTGTACCCTATGACTATCATTAAGTGTTGTACCTTATGATTCTTGATGAACGTATCTTTTCTTTTATGTACACTGAGAGCGTAGGCACCAAAGACAAATTCCTTGTGTGTCCAATCACATTTGGCCAATAAAGAATTCTATTCTATTCTATTCTATTCTATTCTATTCTATTCTATTCTATTCTATTCTATTCCATTCCATTCCATTCCATTCCATTCCATTCCATATTTTCTATTCTATTCTATTCTATTCTATTCTATTCTATTCTATTCTATTCTATTCTATTCCATTCCATTCCATTCCATTCCATTCCATTCCATTCCATTCCATATTTTCTATTCTATTCTATTCTATTTTATTCTATTCTATTCTATTCTATTCTATTCCATTCCATTCCATTCCATTCCATTCCATTCCATTCCATTCCATATTTTCTATTCCATTCCATTCCATTCCATATTTTCTATTCTATTCTTCTATTCTATTCTATTCTATTCTATTCTATTCTATTCTATTCTATTCTATTCCATTCCATTCCATTCCATTCCATTCCATATTTTCTATTCTATTCTATTCTATTCTATTCTATTCTATTCTATTCTATTCTATTCCATTCCATTCCATTCCATTCCATTCCATTCCATTCCATATTTTCTATTCTATTCTATTCTATTCTATTCTATTTTATTCTATTCTATTCTATTCTATTCTATTCCATTCCATTCCATTCCATTCCATTCCATTCCATTCCATTCCATTCCATATTTTCTATTCCATTCCATTCCATTCCATATTTTCTATTCTATTCTATTCTATTCTATTCTATTCTATTCTATTCTATTCTATTCTATTCTATTCTATTCTATTCTATTCTATTCTCTCCTTAGCCTTGTCTAGAAAAAAAAAACCAGCATTAAAACTATATGTTGGGAGAGGAATGTCTCTCTTAGAGAGGTGGCTGGCTGAGGAATTCTGGGAGTTGAAGTCCACAAGTCTTAAAGTCGGAGACCCCTGCATTAGATACATGATTTCTGCTGAAATAACACCTTTATTTTTTTCATCCATATTGCTGTGGATCCACTTTCTTCTACTCTGCAGTTTCAAATAATTGTGCAAATGAATCGTTCCCACAGTGTGAGGGTGGGGGAAATGCAGATCCGTCCACGAAGCTGCCAAACTAGCATTTTTGCTTCAGGATGATGAAGAAACAAAATAAGCTTTAAAAAAAAAAAAAAAAACCACGGAGGGTGTGCCTAGTGTATGGTTCAGAGTCACAACAGTCTTGACTTTATGGCAAATTCCGGTTCAAACTCTTGCTAAGTAAATATTGACAAACTGAAATGTAGGACTGAGAGAGCAAATGTAGACATTTTGCAGCCTGGGACTGAATATAAATGGATTATTTTTTTAAAAAATCCCCAAGTCAAGATGCATATTAATTACAAAATTGGCTGAGATTAATTACAAAATCGGCCAAATTATCCTGGCACCCAGAAGCATAAATTCAGCAAAAGCAGAATAATTACAGTTGCATTAGCTACCTTTGTTTCTCTTTCTGGGATAACCAAAAATCGTCCGTCCCAGGTATCTGCTTTATTCCTGACTGATAAATGACTGAACATAGTTGCACTATTGTTGCTTTCCACTGTTTTATATCTCTTGTGATGTACGCATACACTGTTTCCCCCAAAATAATCAGGCTTTTGAGTGCATGCTCTAAAAATAAGCCCTCCCTGAAAATATTTAAATGCATGCACAACCAGTCCCCGCCATTTCCTCTGGTTTCCTCCATGCACCCCAAAATAATAAGACCTCCCCAAAAATAAGGCCAAGTGTTTATTTCGGGTTCAAAAAATATAAGACAGGGTCTTATTTTCAGGGAAACACGGTAGTTCTCGACTTACAACTACCCTGTTTCCCCAAAAATAAGACCCAACCGGTAAATAAATCCTAGCATGATTTTTCAGGATGCTCGTAATATAAGCCCTACCCCCAAAATAAACCCCAGGTAAGCTTGTCAGCCAGATGGAAACATTTAGTACCATATCTTCCCCAAAATAAGACCTAACCAGAAAATAAACCCTAATGCATCTTTTGGAGCAAAAATTAATATAAGACCCGGTCTTATTTTCGGGGAGACATGATATTCATTTAGTGGCCATTCAAAGTTAGAAGCAGTGGTGGGTTTCAAAATTTTTTACTACCAATTCCGTGGGTGTGACTTGGTGGGCATGTCATGGCTGGGTGGGTGGGCGTGGCTTGATGGGATGGCAAAGGAAGGATATTGTAAAATCTCCATTCCCTCCCGACTCCAGGGGAAGGTTAATGCAAAATCCCCATTTCCTCCCAATCAGCTGGGACTCGGGAGGCAGAGAATAGATGGGGGCGGGGCCAGTCAGAGGTGGTATTTACCGGTTCTTTGAACTGTTCAAAATTTCCGCTACCGGTTCGCCAGAACTGGTTAGAACAGTGTTTCTCAACCTTGGAAGCTTGAAGATGGGTGGACTTCAACTCCCAGAATCCCCCAGCCAGTAGCGCTGGCTGGGGGATTCTGGGAGTTGAAGTCCACCCATCTTCAAGCTACCAAGGTTGAGAAACACTGGGTTAGAACCTGCTGAAGCCCACCTCTGGTTAGAAGGGCACTGAAGAAAGTGACTGAGAACCAGTCCTCGCACTTACAACTGATGCATGATCAAAATTCAGGAGCTTGGCAATCAGGCGCTTGGCAATCATTTACAACAGTTGTAAAGTCCCAGAATCATGTGATCGCCACTTGTGATTTTTCCGGCTGGCTACCGACAAGCAAAATCGATGGAATAGATGGAGGAAATCAGATTTGCTACCGACAAGCAAAATCGATGGGGAATAGATGGAGGAAATCATGATTCACTTAACAACAGTTATGGCCAAAAAGGTCATAAAATCAGGGATGTCTCACTTAACAAATCCCTTGCTTAGCAGTGGAAATTGTGGTTGCAATTGTGGCTTTAAAAAGGACTGCCTGCATTTATTGCTCTTTTTGTGGCAAACCACTTTAAGATGCTCTAGATGTCAAAAGCTACTGGGATGGTGGCATTTACTACTTCCTTATTTAATGAGCACCAGCTCAGTCCCGAGTTGCACAACGCCCAAAAAAGAAGCGATTCAAAAGTTTCGAAAGAAATTCCACCTTGATGAACTCAGTCCAGACTGGGTGGGGTGCTTATTGAAGTTTGCAAGAGTTTGCATTTTACCCCTAATTCTTGGGCTGAAACTCCTTATTTAAGTCTGTGGAATTCTTGCCTCCTTAATCATCCCCTACTTTAATGTTCCTCAACCTTGGGAACTTTTAAGAGGGGTGGACTTCAACTCCCAGAACTCCCCAGCCATGGGAGTAGAAGTCTACCCCTCTTAAAATTCCCAAGGTTAAACTTAACTTCTCTTCTCTTCTCTTCTCTTCTCTTCTCCTCCTCTTTCTTCTCCTCTCCTCTCCTCTCTCTTCTCCTCTCCTCTCCTCCCTCTCCTCTCCTCTCCTCTTCTCTTTCTTCTCTTCTCTTCTCCTCTCCTCTTTCTTCTCTTCTCCTCTCCTCTCCTCTCTCCTCTCCTCTTCCTTCTCTTCTCCTCTCCTCTCCTCTCCTCTTTCTTCTCTTCTCCTCTCCTCTCCTCTCCTCTTTCTTCTCCTCTCCTCTCCTCTCCTCTCCTCTCCTCTCCTCTCCTCTCCTCTCCCCACTCCACTCCACTCCACTCCACTCTATTCTCCTCTCCTCTCTATTCGCCTCCTCTCCTCTTCCCCTCCCTCCCTCTCTCCCCTCCCTTCTTTATTCTCCTCTCCTCTCCTCTTCCTTCCCTCCCCTCTCCTCCCCTCCCTCTCTCCCCTCCCTATCCTGTCCTTGTTACTGCCCTTCCCACCGTTCTGTTCCGTTCCGTTCTGTTCTACAAAGGTTTAGGGCTGATTCCAGGTAAGTTATAAATATGATAAATGCCAGAAATAAGCCTGAAAAGTGTAGACTGTGAAATCCATCTTTCCCAGCGGATAATTACAATGCTCGTATTGGAAGGTTGCAGGATACCCTTGCTAAAATACATTGAATGATTTATTCATCTCAGTTCTGCCCCACGCAGTCAGAATGACTCTCGGCGGCTTACGTAGAATGTAGAATTTATAACAATTACGGTGCCATCTGAAAGCAGATCGAAACTAACCGTCACCAACGATACGCGCAGCAATCCCGCCCCCCCCCCCATCTCCAGCCCTAAGCATAAAAGCAATAAAAGATTAAAGATGGCATTTATGTAAACTCAGGGGAGAGGCCTCCAAAATGTTTCCAATATCCCATAAAGCTCACGAAAATAACACAATGAGCCGAGAGTAAGGCCTGTCAAAATAGAAAATAACCTTGAAGCCAAGTTCGTCTTAATTATATTTATCTTACAAGAAATACTCAAAGGAATTTTAGCCCATCTTTCATTTATTTTAAAAAAACTTTTCATTTACACTGAAAAAGGGGATAAATTCAGGGATGGGCTGATGGGGATTTGCCGGGGTTCGGGAGAACCTCTAGCTAAGATTCTGTGCAGTTCGGAGAACCCCCAAATCACTCCTGGATGGACCAATCCACCCCTCTCCTCCCCTCCCAGGAGCCCCCACCACGCGGCCCATTTTGGGTGCAGGGCGCGCATGGAGGCTCGGGGAGGGTGAAAAACGGGTCGACTGGAAGTTCTGTTTCTGGTCTCCAGAGGGCCTCCAGAGCCTGGGGAGGCCGTTTTCACCCTCCCGGAGGCTCAAGAAAAGCCTCCGGAGCCCGGGGAGGCAAAACCACCCCCTCATGGTGCAGGAGGCTGACTAGGCCATGCCCACCATGTCCATGACCACCCAGCCACCAGGCAGAGAACACCTTGCTAAAAATTTTGAAGCCCACCTCTGGATAAATTCACATTTCCCAGGTAAGAAAACTCCCTGGGAATTCTTATAATATCAAGAGGGGGGGAGATCTCGAATTGGGGAGACCCATTCTCACTGATCTGCCCCAGTTGCATTCATGCTCAAAGCCATTCATTTTATGTAAGCAGGTTGTAGCAAAAAAAAAAAAATTTGCAGAAGCCAGGAAACGTGTTCTGCAGTTTCTGCAGGGATGCAATTTCTCACGCCAACAACTTGTCCCGCACGTCCTAAATACAGACCTCGGGGGGGAACTGAGAAGCCGAGACAATTTTGCTCCGTTGCAAAAAAAAAAAAAAAAAACCGAAAAAACAAAAACTCCACAAAATGTGAAAATTGCAGTTTGTTGAGAGAGGCTCTCGGCTTATTGGAGGAAAATCTAATTATTGCTGAACTTCCTTGATTCACAAGTGAGTGGGGCTTCAGCTGAATTCCTCCCCTGATTTAAAAAAATAAATAAATAGAATTTGCTGTTACGCTGGTTGTTTTTGTCTCCGTTTGCAAAATCCACACTGCAGTGCAGAGCGAGGAGGGGGGGGAGTTCGTTCATTTCGTGAATACACGTAGTCCTTGAGTTACGACCATAAGTTATGATGGACGTAAAGCGAGTCGCCACAGTCCAAGCTTCAAAACGGGGTAAATTGAAGTTTACCTGTACAGGTAGTCTTTGGTTTACAACAGTTCACAGTGACCATTCCAAGTTACAACAGCGCTGAAAAAAGGGACTTAGGACCATTTCTCACACTTACGACCGTTGCAACGTCCCCGATGGTCACGTGATCAAAATTCGGGTGCCTGAGAAACTTGACTTACATTTATGACGGTTGCAGGGTCCCCGGGGGTCACCTGATCCCTTTTTGGTGACCTTCTTGATGAGCAAAGTCAACAGGGGAGCCAGATTCGTTTAACAACTGTGTGGCTAATTTAATCGCTGCAGTGATTCACTTAACAACGGAGCAAGAAAGGTCATAAAATGAGGCAAAAATTCATTTAACAACTGCCTCGCTTGGCAACAGACAGGTTGGGCCTCAATTGTGGCCGTACATCGAGGACTACTTGTATTTATAACTTTTATTCTTCCGAGTTGTGGTTTCTTTAGTGTGCGTCATGTAGGTTCATTTTAATTTATTTGAATAGAAGAATCAAGTCAGCATTCCTGAAAGGCTGAGATCATATCAAATGCTTGCTGTTTCTTTCATTCTTTCTCCACACCTACCTGAATTACATCCTCTTATGTGCTATCAACAGATGCTATCAGCGAAAACCCAAGCATTTTCTTTTGTTAGCACATTTCTTTTCCTTGGCATGAATAAATCAGCTTTGCGATGACTCTGAAAAATGACTTTATATTGCAACATTTGAGTGCCTCTTGTCTTAGCGTCCTATGTCAATTTTCCTACACATTTTTTAAAGGTGACATGCTTTTATGTATTTGATTCAGAGGTGGGTTTCAGCAGGTTCTGACCAGTTCTGGAGAACCGGGAGCGGAAATTTTGAGTAGTTCGGAGAACCGGTAGTAAAAATTCTGACTGGCCCCACCCCCATCTATTCTCTGCCTCCCGAGTCCCAGCTGATCGGGAGGAAATGGGGATTTTGCAGTATCCTTCCCCCGGAGTGGGGAGGGAATGGAGATTTTACCTTCCCCTGCCACGCCCGCCAAGCCACGCCCACCAAGCCATGCCACGCCCACCAAGCCACACCCACAGAACCGGTAGTAAAAAAAATTGAATCCCACCACTGATTCGATTGCACTGGTATCTTTTCATAAAGGTTACCTTGATGTAAAAAAAAAAAAAGAAACATATAGACGAGAATGGATCTGATTTACCGTTTTCTCATTCTTACTTTGATTCTCAAGTTGTCAACAAAGCAGCACTTCACTCAAGAATACAGTTTATTTATTTTTTTTAACCTCTTTTCCTGGCTTGTCTCTGTGGGCTGAGAGAGGGGGACAAACCTAAGTCTGTCCATGGCTTAGGGTCAAGTCTGAACCTAGATTTCATCATTCCTGGTCCAACACCTTTATCACTATACCTGTCGGGAAAAAGTTAATAGGGTGGAAGGATCAAGTGTGGAAGTAGCCTGGAATCACCGCAGAACCACAAAAGGGCTAGGGCTAGGGTTCTGAGTAATACACCCATAGCAAACAGAACTCTGAGGCAAGCAGTTTCCTCAAAGAACAAATTTATTGGATCTATCCAATTGGCACAGACTGGTGAAAACCGGCTCTAAAGGTTCCCGTGGTTTTCATCTAATTAAAAGCTTTTCCCCCTTTCCCAAACAATTAGTCACATGGTCCAATCAAAGTGCTTTCCGGTTGCTTGGAGATTTCACTCCTCCTCTCTTCAGCCACCTGTGGGAATGTCCTTGGTTCTCAGGAGAAACTATTTTGTTTTGGCTACAAAACCCCAGCTACCTCTATTCCCCCCTCCCTAACCCTCAGCACCACTGTGGCAGCACTGATGACTCCAAGATGGCCTCAGTCCGGTTAGCTTCAGAGTTGATACCTGTGTCATTGAGCAGCATCGTTTTTCTTCCAGGTTGGTTCTAGAGGAACGATTCAGGATTTCCCAGGATTCAATGCTTCCAAAGATGCAGAGGCACTTAAAAAAGCAATGGAAGGACTGGGTAAGCATCCTGTTTTCTCTGGGGAAAGGCAGACAGTTTCCTTAGAACCGGGGTGTCAAACTCGATTTCATTGAGGGCCGCATCAGGGGTGTGTTTGACCTCGGGGGGCGGGGCCGGGGCCAGGGTAGGCGTGGCCAGCTTGACATCACTCGTGTTGGGGGCGCCTGTGGCCCAAGCGCTCTGCTAGAGAAAACAGGCTCCATTTTTGGCTGCGACGGCCTCCTGCAACCCACTGCCAGCAAAAACAGAGCTTGGGAGGGCCGCGTTTTCCTGGCAGAGACACCGTGGACCAGTTCTTCGCTATTTCCAGGACGGAAGCTTGATAGTTGATTCACATTTATGACTGTTGCGGTATCCTAGAGTCATGTGATCCCTTTTGCAATCTTCTGATTAACAAAGTCAATGGGGAAGCCAGATTCACTTAACAACCGGGTTACTAATTTAACAACTGTAGCGATTCACTTAACAGATGTGGCAAGAAAAGTCGTAAAATGGGGTGAAACTCGCTTAGCAACAATCTCGCTTAGCAACAGAAAATTTGGGCTCGATTGTGGTCATAAGTCAAGGACGATCTGTCAACAAAACCAAAATGGGCTGTTACTGGCCCCCAGAGTGTGTGTTGGGGAAGGTTGTTTTCGCCCTCCCCAGGCTCCTAGAAAGGCTCTGGAGCCAGGTGAGAGAGAAAAACGGGCCTACCGGGCCATCATGTGCTAGAAGTGGGGGGAGTGGGGCGGGGTTTACACGTGCATAAGTGGGGGTGGGCCGCATAGAATTATGGGTGTGGGCATGCCACCCCCCACCACCCCCTCCTGGCACGCAATGGCAAAAAGGTTAGACATCACTGGGATAGAGGTTGCCCGTCACTAAAGTTTTAACACGTTTTACTCCAAGAGTCAAGATCCTTCCTCTTTCTGAGCTGATGACTCCCTTCTTAATTTTGCTTTTAGGCACGGATGAAACAACAGTGATTGAGATCCTGACAGGAAGATCAAACGCTCAACGGCAGCTGATAGCTGCAGAGTATAAATCTTACACTGGAAAGGTATGCATCCTTGGGAAATATTGTGAAGCGGGGGTGGGGAGCGTTAGGAGGTGAGAGGCTCTACTATCTCCAGCTACTGATTCTTCGTGGCAAATAGCATGGAAGAGCCAGTTTGATGCAGTGGTTGAGATGCTGGCCTGGAAATTAGGCACTGTGAGTTGTAGTACCGTCTTAGGCATGAAAGCTGGCTGGGTGGCTTTGGGCCAGTCATCAATGATGGTGAATTCTAGTCCTGACCTTTGGCACGAAAACTATCTGGGTGATTTTGGCCCAATCACCAGGCGATGGTGAATTCTAGTCCCGCCTTTGGAATGACAGCTAGCTGAGTGACTTTGGCCCAATCACCAGGCGATGGTGAATTCTAATCCCGCCTTTGGCATGACAGCTAGCTGGGCGACTTTGGCTCAATCACCAGGTAGCTGTGAGTTCTAGTTCCTCCTTAGTCATGAAAGCTGGCTGGGTGACTGTAACTATCTCTCAGCCCAATTCACCTCACAGGGTTGTTGTTGTTGTTGTGGGAAAAAGATGAGGAGAAAAGAGTATGATATATGTTCTCTATCTTGAGTTACTTATAAAGTCATTAAAAACAGGATAAAAATATTGTATTTCTGAAGGAGTAATTAGTGGAGTTCTCTTGGAGAAGGGATTTCCCACTCCACTCTAAAGAAGGGAAGAAAAGGAAGAAAAATCCAGTCAAAATGAATGTTCAAATTCTTTGACAACAGCCCAGCCAAGGCTTTCAATTTCTCACTGAGAACTAAATTAAAGGAAATAGTTTTGACAAGATACACTTCCTCAAAGCAGTAAAACTGAGATTCTACCAGGACTTGCCCTACGACATTCCTTAAACGGATGCCCTCCATACGTGATGGGCTAAAATATTTACGATCCCCCCTAGTCGTGATTAGCTGGAGAATGCTGGATTAGAAACTATTGCTGAAGCTGCTCAGGATTCTTGACCATGAGAATTATTCATGGCCCTGTTTTATTTTCTTTTTACAGGAGCTGAAAGATGCTTTGAAGGAAGATACCTCAGGTGATTTTGGGCGCGTCCTGGTTAACCTGGTCACTCCCCCAGCAGAATTTGACGCGGAACAAATTAACCGAACCGTCAGAGTAAGTCAGAAAGGGTGGCCTTCCTCTTAATGCTAACCCCTAAACCTAACTCATCCTGACACATGTTTTATTTGATTCTGCTTTGAGGAAAATACGATTTTCCGTCGCTCTCTACCCTTCTGTGAATGCGCTTTAATATAATTGCACTTTAATAAAATTTTCTGGAAGAGGAAAAAAGGTATCATGTCACCCCTAAAGTCCTCCCCCCCCCCAGACTTTCTGGTTTTTCTTCGAAGACGTTTTGCTTCTCATCCAAGCAACTTCTTCAGCTCTTGGATGAAGCATCTTCAGAGCTTCTCTTTAGAGCTGAAAAAGCTTCTTGGAAGAGAAGCGAAACATCTTCCAAGAAAAACCAGAAAGTCCATTTGCCTCTTGAAAAAAACACAAAGCACCGTTGGGACAATCATGATTTGGATGACCGAGAATCTCCATAGACATGTCACCTCCTACTCCTTCTTCCATTAAACTAGACATACCCGATTCCTGCAACCGTTCTTCATATGTTTTAGCCTCCACTCCCCTCAGCATCTTTGTTGCTCTTCCCTGCACTCTTTCTAGAGTCTCCACATCTTTTTTACATCGTGGTGACCAAAACTGGATGCAGTAGTCCAAGTGTGGCCTTACCAAGGCATTATAGAGTGCTTCAGCCCTAATATTATGTCGACTGGCGACTCCCAGGGGGAGGGCCTTCTCTGTGAGGGCTCCAACCCTTTGGAATGAACTGCCCCCGGAGATACGGAATATCCCTGATCTCCGTGTTTTCCGCCGTGCCCTCAAGACCCTGATGTTCCAACAGACGGGGCTAAACATATGAACATGTGAATGATTTTTTAAATGTGATCTAATTCTGGGTTTTATTTAATTGACCAAACTAAGTAATAATTTTAATTAGCAATTTTATAATGTTTGTGTGTCTATATTTTTCTTGACTGTACACCGCCTTGAGTCCTACGGGAGAAAGGCGGTATAGAAATATAATAAATAAATAAATAATATACACATACACATACACACTGCCCATGTTTTTGATAATGTAGCTGTCTCCTTGCAGGGCCATCAGTGTCCCCATCTCATTCCTCCTGAGGGCAGCTCCATTTTAAAACCCCTTACTTTTAGCCAGCAGTTACGCATTGATGAATGAATTGATCGATGCTCTTTCATCTACCCCAACTCTTGTTAGTTCACACCATTAACCAACAATTTGTCGGGCGCCTACATTAATCACCCAGGCACGGTTGACTTTCAGCGATTTCAATAAAAAAACGTTCCCTCACGGAGTGCCATCGTGCTGAAATCTGTTTACAAAACACTGGCCTTGAGATGAGGTCAGCCGGTTTTTTCTTCTGTCGGAAGGAATGTTTTAATGTTGAAATGATCTCTTTGGGGTCATTTATCTCGTGGGGAGATGTCTAATCGTCTTGTGGCAGCTTCCCCGATGTCCAGAGGCAATTAAACCTAGATAAATCTTGAATGGAAAAATTGAGCATCTTTTTCGTTGTGATTCTTGCCAGGGCGTGGGAACGAATGAGACGGCGTTGATTGAGATCGTGGCGTCCCGAACCACCAAGCAAATCAGAGAGACATCTCAGGTGTATTATACAAGTAAGAACTACCTTGGCTGAATAAGATACCTGCCAGGTATTTGCCTTATCATTTCTCTGTAGGCTACCCTGTCTGGAATGGAAAATGGCTCACGGAGGGATCCTGTATTACAGGTAGTCCTCTATTTGCAACTATTTGTTTGTGACCGTTCAAAGTTACAACGGCGCTGGAAAAAGTGACTTATGACCAGTTTTCACACTCATGATGGTACCAGCATCCTTAGGGTCATACGATCAACATATAAGCCGCTTGGCAATTGGCATGCTTGCACTGTCCCAAGGTCATGTGATCCACCATTTTGGATCTTCCCAGACGGCTTCTGACAAGCAAAGTCAGTGGGGGAATTTTCAATCACAATAGAGCTGGAAGGGACCTTGGAGGTCTTCTAGTCCAACCCCCTGCTTAGGCAGGAAACCCTACACCACTTCAGACAAATGGTTATCCAACAACTTCTTAAAAACTTCCAGTGTTGGAGCATTCATAACTTCTGCAGGCAAGTTGTTCCACTGATTAATTGTTCTAACTGTCAGGAAATTCCTCCTTAGTTCTAGGTTGCTTCTCTCCTTGATTAGTTTCCATCCATTGCTTCTTGTCTTGCCTTCTGGTGCTTTGGAAAATAAATTGACCCCATTCTAGCCTGGTGACTTAATCTCTACACCAAACCAGCTCTTCGGGGACAAAATGAGCTCTAAAGTACCCTCTTAGGGACACGGTGGCTCAGTGGCTAAGATGCTGAGCTTGTCGATCGAAAGGTCGGCAGTTCAGCGGTTCGAATCCCTAGTGCCGCGTAACGGGGTGAGCCCCCGTTACTCGCCCCAGCTTCTGCCAACCTAGCAGTTCGAAAGCACGTAAAAAAAAATGCAAGTAGAAAAATAGGGCCCATCTTTGGTGGGAAGGGAACAGCGTTCGTTCCGTGCGCCTTTGGCGTTGAGTCATGCCGGCCACATGACCACGGAGACGTCTTCAGACAGTGCTGGCTCTTCAGCTTTGAAACGGAGATGAGCACCGCCCCCTAGAGTCGGGAACGACTAGCATATATGTGCGAGGGGAACCTTTACCTTTACTTTACCTAAAGAACCCTCTTACCTTTTAGAAGTTTTAGAAACCTTTTTTTACATTTGGAATCGTAATTCCTGTCTTGGCGTCCCATGTCTGTGGCTGAAGAAATTCGTGCCTTTCTGGTCTAAAAGGTTTTGCGCAGAAGGCCACACTGGAAGGAGGGCCTCCCCATCATTAAGTCAGACCCTATTGAGTTAGTATTAGCTAGAAGATCATGGCCCGTGTCCCTTCTAGCTTTTAGTTTGATAAGTGGCACTAGCCAAAAAACCTGCCGCTTGATGAATTGCTGAACTGCAGAGAGGCTGACCAAGATGGATTGAAAATTGAATGCAGCCAAGCCTATAGCTGGAGCTGGTGTCATTCTTTCAGAGCCGTGGCATTGATTAATATCTGGAAGATGGATGTCTCTTCTCTTGGTGAGGGTGTAGAAAGCCCACCGGTGGGAATTAAAATCAGACGGTCCTGCTTCGCTGCATTGTAGCCTAAACTGAGCCAAGCAAATAAACCTGGACCAGAGAACAAATTGATTGAGTCACAATGGACTGGTGGTCAGTAAATTTGCTGATATTGCGAGAGAAGGAAGGCAGGTTCACAGTTTGATGAGGTCCTAGCAATTGGCTGCTCTTCGGGGGTCTTGAGACGTCAGTTCCCAGAATTCCAGAATTTCGGAACTGCAAGCTGCCCACGGTCGTTGATTGAGATGGACAGCTATCAAAAATGGATGGATGGATAGATGGATGGAGGGATGGATGGAGGGATGGACTCTATGGTCAAGGGCAGCCTGACAATTCTGAGAATTATAGTTAGATTAGATTAACAGAGTTGGAAGGGACCTTGTACGTCATCTAGTCCAACCTCACCCCCCCACCCCAAGCAGGAGACCCTACACCATTTCTGACAGATGGCAGTCCAGTCTCTTCTTGAAAGCCTCCAGTGATGAAGCTCCCACAACTTCCGAAGGCAACTTCTGTCCCATGGGTTGATTGTTCTCGCTGTCAGAAAATTCCTCCTTATTTCCAGGTTGAATCTCTCCTTGATCCGTTTCCATCCATTATTCCTTGTCTGGCCTTCGGGTGCTTTGGAAAATAGCTTGACCCCCTCCTCTCTGTGGCAGCCCCTCAAATACTGGAAGACTGTTATCATGTCTCCCCTGGTCCTTCTCTTCACTAGACTAGCCATGCCCAGCTCCTGCAACCGTTCTTCATATGTTTTAGCCTCCAGTCCCCTAATCATCTTTGTTGCTCTTCTCTGCACTTTCTAGAGTCTCAACATCTTTTTTTATAGTGTGGTGACCAAAACTGGATGCAGTATTCTAGGTGTGGTTTTACTAAGGCTTTATAGAGTGGTATTAGTATCTCCCTTGATCTTGATTATATCACTTTGTTAATGCAGTTTAGGATTGCATTGGCTTTTTTTGGCTGCCGTTGCACACTGCTGGCTCAGAGTTCTAAACATGTTTAGCTCATAAATATGCTGGCTCAGAGTTTTAGCTCATAAATATGCTGGCTCAGAGTTCTAAACATGTTTAGAAGTCACCACGTAAGGAATGGCTTATGAAAAACCAAACGGGTAAAACCAGGTGAAATTTGGCTCAATAACAGTAACTGCAAGAGGGATCTTGGAGGGGCTACCACAAGGAAGAAGGGGGGTCAACCTATTCTTCCAAAGCACCTTATGGCCTTTGCAGCATCTCCATGGTCACATGGTCAAAATTCAGACGCTTGGCAAGTGGTTCATATTTATGACGGTTTCAGTCATGCGATCCCCTTTTGCGACCTTCTAACACGCAAAGTCAACGGGGAAGCCATATTCACTTTACAACCATGTTACTAACTTAACTGCAGTGGTTCGCTTAACGACTGCACCCAGAAAGTTCGTCAAATAGCAATAGCGCTTAGACTTACATACCGCTTGACAGTGCTTTTACAGCCTTCTCTAAGCGGTTTTACAGAGTCAGCCTCTTGCCCCCAACAATCTGGGTCCTCATTTTACCCACCTCGGAAGGATGGAAGGCTGAGTCAACCTTGAACCGGGGAGAATCGAACTGCTGGCAGTGGGCAGAGTCAGCCTGCAATACTGCAACCTCGGACAGATGGAAGGCTGAAATAATAATAGGGTCTCCTGGTTGAGCAGGGGGTTAGATTAGAAGCCCTCCAAAGTCCCTTCCAACTTCGTTATCCTGTAAAAACTTGGTATGCTCTAAGAAAAGAAGCTATTAGGCGAAGTCAGGACCCCCCCCCCCATATCCAGACAACCAAATGGCTGACACAGAAATTGTGAGACTATTGCTATCTTTCAAAAGTTCTGAGGCCTTCTTAGCTGCTTCTCATATTTTCATGGGATGCCAACCTTGATCATTCTTTTGAGTTTCTGTTGTAATTTAAAGATGTCCTCCCCCAAAGCTCTTTCATTGTTATTGGTTGTGTTTGCTGGGAATGACAGAAGTTGGAGTCCAACATATTTGGGTTCAGTGGTGGTCGTAAATCAAGGACTAGTTGGATCAGAAAAACCTTATGGTGCCCCTAAGCGTGACACGTAATTTGGATTACCGCTCCACTGCTTTTTCCCATAGGTTGGCTAGAACAAATGAAAATCATGCATTCGGATGAGACCTTATTTATCTAGCTTATCAATTTCTCCTCCGGCTTAAACAGCATTTTTTTTTTAAAAAAAAAGACTTGCCCTGTAGAGGCTACGCAAAATAAACCACAGATAAACCTTCTATCAGCTCTTTAGCAACGGAACAAGATAACCGACAGGATTATTCCCTGCAATCTGTGCTTATATAAGCTTTGCAGATAAGAGTCAGTTTCTTCGTTGTAATGGATGTACAACTTTCATCGCAAGAGGGCTGTCTCAGAAATTGTGTACCTGGGTTTCTTTGGCGTTATTCAGATAAAGGTTATGGATAATGTTTGCAGATAGACTTTGACTTATGACCACAATTGAACCCCAAATTTCCTGTGGCTAAGCGAGGCGGCTGTTCAGTGAGTTGCGCCCCATTTTACGACCTTTCAAGCCACAGCTGTTAAGTGAATCTCTGCTTTTGTTAAGTTATTAGCATGTTGTTGAGTGAATCCGGATTCCCCACTGATTTTGCTTGTCAGAAGTTCGCTCCCCCAAAAAAGTGATCACGTTACTCTGGGACTGTTCTGCCCCAGCTACGGACCCCAAAGAACGCGGCACACACAAAGTCTGTACAAACCTTAGTTTACTAAAATAAAATCAGTTTTTCAAACAAAGGTTGTTAATTAACTTTCTTAACAGCCTGCAAGAATCCAAAGAATAAATAATCTTAATCGTACTATTGTTGGCAGAAAGTCCAGAAGCAATTTGCAGAGAACTAAGATCAAGGCACAAAGGAGAGTGAACGAAGTTGTTCCCTGCAAATTGCTTCAGTCGGCGTTCCTCCTTAAATAGGCTAGGGGAGTGGCCAATTAGCCCCAAGCCTTACTCTTGAGGAGACCTCCTCCTGGGGAGCCACTCCTGCCTTTTGGCAGCTCTGCACGCCCGTGCATTGAGAAGAGGCTCCTCCTCTTCGTCCTCTTCACTTAAGGGAGCTTCTGGAGGTTCTGAAGGCCCTGGTTGAATCCCCGCCTCTGGCACCACATCTTCTCCAGCCTCCTCATTGTCCGACTCCAGTGCCAGCTGCACAGGCTGCTGGCGCAGCACCACACCAGCCTCCTCGCTGTCCGAATCAGCCACCAGCCGCACAGGCCACTGACGGGCCACAACAGGGACTCTGCAACCGTCATAAATATGAGTCAGTTGCCAAGCGTCTGGATTTTGATCATGCGTCCATGGGGATGCTGGTTGTAAGTATGAAAAACGGTCACCAGTCACTTTTTTCACTTTATCATTTTTATTTTAATTGTGTCAAATATAAAGAAGAAAAGAAAATGGGAAATTAAGGGAGCGAAAGGGAATGGGAGAAAGGGTGTGTGAGATACAAGGGGGAAGAGAAAAAAGAAAGAAAAGGGGGCATTGACGTCCAACTCTTCTTAACACAATACAAAATAAACACACCCCAGCCTCAACTTCTTGCTTTTGCACATTAATATATAATATAGCCATTTCTATAACACCAAATCTTTCTAATCAACAAAACCAAGATCAACATTTTTCTTCACAAGCACAAATTCCAGAAGTGATACTCAAATAAGAACATATATTCCTCTTTAAATAAAATAATCAATTTAACCATTCCTGCTTTATCTTCCTTGCTATGGAAATGATGTGTGTTTCTATTTGTGCTGAGTAATTTTTGTGAACGGTCGCCATTTTTATTTACAAAATTTATTGTATTATGTCAAATTCTTTGGCCTTACTGAAAGAAAGAAAAGAAAAGAGGACGAAAAACCTTTCTTTTTTTTTCCATTCTCCTCTTTCCTTCTTTCAGTACTGTTGTATCTTCGACGGCATGAACTGTTGTAAGTCGAGGACTATCTGTATTGACTGTATATAATCTACTTAGGCCAGGGGTGGGCAACTGTGGCCCTTTTACAACCTGTGGACTTCAACTCCCAGAATTCCTGAGACAGCCAAGCTGGCTCAGGAATTCTGGGAGTTGAAGTCCATAGGTCGTAAAGGGGCCATATTTGCCCACCTCTGATTTAGGCATTCAGATGGAGTGTTTGTTACCTTTTTCCCATCTGGACGAGCGTCACTAACTCTGTTGGTTTTGGTTCCAGTTTATAGGTCCATTATGAGTGAGGATGTCGGCTGGGACACATCAGGAGACTTCAAAAGAACCCTCTTGGCCTTGCTGGATGTAAGGAAAATTTTACCAGATTTGTGTAAATGACCTCATGGTTGCCTTGTGTGACGTATGTTATTGGAAGGCTGTTAAGGATCATGGAAAAATTTGCTGCTTTTTCTAGTGCCATCTTTACTTGGATTGTATATCACAAACACAGTTTGTGATATATTCACATTAACTCTCAGTTTAGCTCTTAACAATCCTAGTTAGTTCTTGTTCGCTCTGGGCCCATAACCAATGTTAAGGATATTGTTGTTGTGTTACCAACCAGCAGAGTGTAGAGCACAGAGAAACGTTGCTGAGAGCAATGAATAAGAGATGTGCAAACTGGTTTATCAAAAATTTACTTTATAGGGAAAAAAACCATCTCATAGTCTTTAAATCAATCCAAGTCTTTGCCAGTTAAATCAGTCCAGTGATACAAAAATCATCTTACCACACAAACAGTAGTTGGTTAGAATAACAAGTTCACTCTGGTTCACAAACCACGATGGTAGCAGATCCATCCAACCGATGATAGCACAATGATAGCAACTCCTCACACAATGGTAACATATCATCAACTGAATACGTTACAGTACTTTCTTAAATACATTCACAACCAGTGATTATCTAATTACAGCATGACTCAGCATTACAATGAATCAGCAGTAAAACTTTAAAGTCACTCAATACATATTCATATTAAAGTCACAGAACACATATATTGCCTGGACAACTTGTTAGGCTCAAACCGTATCCTAACAAAGGCCCTGATGTGTGGTGCAGCTATTCACAAATGAATTAATTGAACCAGGGGGTGGGCTGCTGGGGGTTCGCAGGGGTTCGGGAAAACCTCTAGCTAAGATTCTGTGCAGTTCGGAGAACCTCCAAATCCCGCTCCTGTCTGGCCCCGTCCACCCCACCCCACCATTCCTAGGAGTCCCCTTAAAACGACACTATAGAGCACTGCACACCAGAACAACTAGACACAAGAACCGTTTTTTTCCCGAATGCCGTCACTCTGCTAACAAATAATTCCCTCAACACTGTCAAACTAGTTACTAAGTCTGCATTACTACTAATCTTCTCATTGTTCCTATCACCCATCTCCTCCCATTTATGACTGTATGACTGTAATCTTGTTGCTGGTATCCTTACGGTTTATATTGACTGTTTCCCTATGACTATCATTAAGTGTTGTACCTTACTATTCTTGACAAATGTATCTTTTCTTTTATGTACACCGAGAGCGTATGCACCAAGACAAATTCCTTGTGTGTCCAATCACACTTGGCCAATAAAGAATTCTATTCTATTCTATTCTATTCTATTCTATTCTATTCTATTCTATTCTATTCTATTCTATTCTATTCTATTCTATTCTAACCATTTGTCTGAAGTGGTGTAGGGTTTCCTGCCTAAGCAGGGGGTTGGACTAGAAGACCTCCAAGGTCCCTTCCAACTCTGTTATTCTATTCTATTCTATTCTAATTTGTGTACTCATTTTGGGCTCATGTTTTTCTTCTTCTTTTCAATACTATCACAGGCCAAAAGAGATGAAAATCCGGAGGCCCATGAAGAGGTAGCAAAGAGAGATGCACAGGTAATCACAGACAAAATTTACTTAACGTACATTTCACTTAGCAACAGGAATTTTGGGTTGAATTGTGGTCTATTTATGACTCCCTGTATTTAAAACCTGCATAAAATGTTACCTTTTTTTTGGTCAGGATTAGAATAACCTTCTTTATTTTTAGATCATGGACAAGTCCCTCAAAAATTTTACCTACTTAGGCTTTTACATTTTGGATGAGGTTTGTTTGTGCCTCTCTAAATCGTGCCTCTCTAAATCGTGAAGGAATCTGGTGTGAACTGAAATAGAAGCAAAATTGATGCTTGCGACTTCCGACCGTTTTCCCCCCAAAAAACGCAAGTTGGCTTGTCTACCAAACGAAGAGTTTTAGCAGCGGGATTTAATCTGACTATCTCGAAAAAGCCTACTGTAAACAATCGGTGTAATAATTGCCCAGAGTACCTTATTTGAAATATAACAGGGGGATAGCAAAAGATCAGCCGTCTTATGCTCCTTCAATTCCTGTTTTCTAGCTCCTGTACGGTGCCGGTGAAAAGAGATTGGGAACGGATGAGACCAAATTCATCGAGATTCTGAGCTCCAGCAGCGTCGCTCAACTCAAACTCAGTAAGAAACGGATTGTCTTATACAGTAAAATAAAACCGATTAGCTGTTCTCGCATAATTAGCCAGGGTGACGCAGTGATTAGAATGCAGTATGACTCTGCATTCCACTGCCAGCAGTTCGATCCTGACCGACTCAAGATTGACTCAGCCTTCCATCTTTCCGAGGTCGGTAAAACGGAGGACCCAGATTGTTGGGGTTAATGTGCTGACTCCGTAAGCCGCTTAAGAGAGGGTTGTGAAGCAGTATATAAGTCTAAGTGCTATTGCTATTGCCTTATTTGTTATGCCAGGAAAAAAAAAAACATAATATTTTCAGTTTGGATATATGGCCAGGTTTGCCCAAATGAATCAAGCTAGGTATTTAGGCCATATATATTATTAACAAAAGGGATGCGGTGGCTCAGTGGCTAAGACGCTGAGCTTGTCGATCGAAAGGTCGGCAGTTCAGGGATTTGAATCCCTAGTACTCCGTAATGGAGTGAGCTCCCATTACTTGTCCCAGCTTCTGTCAACCTAGCAGTTCGAAAGCATGTAAAAAATGCAAGTAGAAAAATAGGGACCACCTTTGGTGGGAAGGTAACAGCGTTCCGTGCACCTTTGGCATTGAGTCATGCCGGCCACATGACCACGGAGACGTCTTAAGACAGGGCTGGCTTTTTGGCTTTGAAATGGAGATGAGCACCACCCCCTAGAGTCAGGAATGACTAGCACATATGTGCGAGGGGAACTTTTACCTTATATTATTAACTTTTTCTTGTGCAATTTTCTTCAGATGTATTATATTGACTGAGGATCATGGATTAGGAAGCCCAATACAGGGAGGCTGGAATAGCAATAGCAATAGCACTTAGATTTATATACCGCTTCACAGTGTTTTATAGCCCACTCTAAGTGGTTTAGAGAGTCAGCCTTTTGACCCCAACAATCTGGGTCCTCATTTTACCCACTTCAGTAGGATGGAAGGCTGAGTCAACCTTGAGCTGGTGAGACTCGAACTGCCAAACTGCTGGCAGCTGGCAGTCAGCAGAAGTAGCCTGCAGTACTGCATTCTAACCACTGCGCCACCGTGGCTCAAATTAACCTTCTTCTTCTTTTTCTTCTTGTGCCATATTCGTCATTGGACGATGGCAAACATGTTGGCAATCCTATTTTTATCAACAGCTGCATGAAAATTAACCATGGTTGATTAATATAGGTAGTCCTCAACTTATGACCATAACTGGGCCTGGTGGCTCAGTAGACTGATAGCATTGTGATTAACACCAGCTGTCTGCAATTACTGTAAGTTCGAATCTCACCAGGCTCAAGGTTGACTCAGCCTTCCATCCTTTCTAAGGTAGGTAAATTGAGGACCCAGTTTGTGGGGGCAATAAGCTGACTTTGTATAAATATACAAAAGTATGAAGGCTATTGCTTAACGCATTGTAAGCCACCCTGAGTCTCCGGAGAAGGGCGGCATATAAATAAAATTAGAAAAAAAAAAAACCTGAGGCTAGAATTATAGTCATGCTGGTTGGTTAACACTATCAAACATCGGACGAGCCGTGGTGGCGCAGTGGTTAGAATGCAATATTGCAGGTTGACTCTGCCCACTGCCAGGAGTTCGATCCTGACCAGCTCAAGGTCGACTCAGCCTTCCATCCATCTGAGGTGGGTAAAATGAGGACCCAGATTGTTGGGAGCAATAGGCTGACTCAGTAAAACCCCTTAGAGAGGGCTGTGAAGCACTGTGAAGCGGTATATAAGTCTAAGTGCAATTGTTATTAGATATACTGATAGAGGTGAGAGCACAATCCCAGTTGCTGTAATGGGCTGTGAGAAAAACTTGGAGGAAGAGGAGAAAGAGTGACAGGTCAGATAAGAGACCTCTGAGCCCAGATGAGGAATGAGGCTGAAAAAGCATCTCATTCGAACAGTCACTAAATGAATGGGTTGTAAGTCAAGGGCTGCCTGTATTTGAGTGCAGGAAGGTTTTTTTTTGTTAGGGATGTTTGCTTTTTTAAAAAATCCTAAGCAAGACAGACTAGAAACTCTAAAAAAAAAAAAAAAAAAGCATAGAAAATAGGATTTCGGGCTGTTACAGATTATATATTGTAAAAGAGCGATGGTTTGTAGACGGAGAAGTAAAAGTGCTCCACGCTTTTTGTTCAGGCATCTTAAAGTACGTGCAGCTTACGCCTCCTTCACATTGTTCTCCTTTGTCCTTTCTTAAAGCATTTCAGGAGTACAAAAAACTTAGTGGACACCAGATGGAGGAGACTGTGCTTAACGAAACATCGGGTGATTTTGCCGAACTGCTTTTGGCCGTAGGTAAGGGAAACGGGCGATGATCTCGTGAGTGTGTGCGGTGTCAAACTCATGTCGTCACAGCGGCATCATGTGATGTATTGGGACTTTTCCCTTCTTCGCTAAACTGGGCATGGGCGTGGCCAGCATGTGACACATCCGGCCGGTGGGCTGTATGTTTGTCAGCCCTGGCTTAGGAGGATAAGTTGGTTCCCTAATTCAGGGATACTCAACTTCCTGGTCATGGCCCCATATACTGGGTCTTAAGCCTTTCAGAACCGGGCCATAGAAGTAGGCTGCGAGTGAGCGCTCACATCCCCACTTATGGAAGTGCGCGAGCTGCATTGGCTTCTGGTGGACTTCCGGGTGCGCTTCAAGGTGTTGGTGATCACCTTTAAAGCGCTCCATGGCTTAAGGCCAGGGTACTTACGGGACCGCCTTCTGCCACCAATAGCCTCCCACCAGCCAGTTCGCTCCCACAGAGAGGGCCTCCTCAGGGTGCCGTCGGCTAGACAATGCCGGCTGGCGACCCCCAGGAGGAGAGCCTTCTCTGTGGTGGCACCTACCCTTTGGAACAATCTACCCCCAGAGATACGAGTGATCTCCGACCTCCGGACTTTTCGTCGGGCCCTAAAAACTCATCTCTTTCAGTTAGCCGGTCTCTCTTGATTTTATGATTTTATGGTTGGTTTTAAATTTTGATATGGATTTTAAATTGATAAATTTTAAACTATGGGCCAAATTTAATTATTTTAAATCTATTTTTAATCGTACTTTATGTATAAATGCTTTTATTTTGGCTGTTCACCGCCCTGAGTCCGAAAGGAGAAGGGCGGTATAGAAATTCTAATAATAATAATAATAATAATAATAATAATAATAATAATAATAATAATAGGCATGCAAGTGTGCACATGCTCCATTTGCACGAGCAGCGGTCGTGTGTGATCACTGCTTGTGCAAATGGAGCAGTATGCACGTACACACTGGCTCACTATTCACATGGAAGCATTCCACACACACACACACACACACACACACACACCCGCCGGCCCACAAAGCCAGAAAAGTTGGGAACTCTACTTTAATTTGCTTTTAAAGAACGGCAAAGTGTAGGAAATGACGCAGTTACAAGCCTGAAATTCATTAGGACATTTTGAATTTAGACTCCTTTTAAAAAGTCTTGGTTTTGGGATGTTTAGGCATCTGGGGCTGTATATAACCTGTTTCTCTGAAAATAAGACCCAACCAGAAAATAAGCCCTAGCATGTTTTTTCACGATGCTCGTAATATAAGCCCTACCCCCAAAATAAGTCCTAGTTAAGATTGTCAGCCAGATGGATGCATTTAGTACCCAGTTTTCCCCAAAATAAGACCTAACCAGAAAATAAGCCCTAATGCATCTTTTGTAGCAAAAATTAATATAAGACCCGGTCTTATTTTTGGGGAAACAAGGTAAATACCTTGGAAAAGGTGAATGCTACTTTCCCTATTCCTGCAAAGCCCTTGGTTTGCCCCCAAAATTGGGAATTTCGTAACACAAAATAGATTTCCTACCTTCCTCTTGAGGTCTCTTCAGAAACATTTTGCCCTTGCTAGCTCTTATTTTGAACGGTTTATGGTGGAAAAGCAGACTGCAGATTTAATCTTAAACCATCTACAGCAGCCAAAGAGAAGGATACATTTCTACCCTCGCCCCGCTCCAAAATGTAATTTCCAAAAAGGGGACAGTCGATTACGTTTTGATCGATGCGTTTGCTCTTTATGGGATGACAATCTGCCCAAACCACATCTGCCCAAATGTAAATATAAAAATGATGCACAAGAGGGTTGTAATAAGGAAACCGTGTAAATGATGGTAATCAAGTACGAGCCCTCAGGTTACTATTTTATTTATTTACGGATTTAATTGTTAATGTACTTCCCACTTCTTGTTCATGCATTTAATCCGTGAGATGATTTGCAAACGCTTCAATAATTTAACAGGATATTTTTCTGCTTTGTATTCCAATCCTGTGCAAAATATATAGCCAGACAGTATAAAAGGCTTATGTTCAATTATGTTTTTCCTCTCTTTTTATAGTGAAGTGTGTAAATAATACACCTGCCTTCTTTGCTGAAAAACTGAACAGAGCCATAAAGGTAAGACTGTTATAAGGTTGTTTTGCCCAAAGTGAGGTCATTCAGAACCACCAACCACGTTGCTGGTTGGTGCCTGCATTATTAGCTGGCAATTATTTACAATTTCAAGAAAGGTTTCTATCTAGGTAAGAGTGATGGAGGATTGTTCTGCAAATTGGCTGTTCTCCCAACAAACTACAGCCATCTGCTTCACTAAACCCTGAGATCCAGGGGTGAAATGCTACCGGTTCGCTCCAGGTTGGGCGAACCGGTAATGATAAAAACTACAAAAAGCTACCGGTTCGAGCTAACTGGTAGTTAGCTACCAGTTCGTTTGAACTGGTAGTTTTTTCTAACTCCTCCGAACCGGTATTTCCGACGATCAGCTGTGCCGCGCGGTTTAGCTTTGCTAGAAAGCAGGAAATCCTGCTTTCTAGCGAAGCTAAATCGCGCGGCACAGCTGATTCCTTCCCCCCCTCGCTGTTCTAATTACCAAGCTTCCTTTTGGCACGTACTGCACATGCGTGCGTACATAACACGCATGCGTGGCCAGCGAACCGGTAACAAACCGGTTCGGATTTCACCGCTGGATAAATCACCATGTAAATGCAGAGGGTTGTTGCTTTGACTGGGGAACATGAGGTGTTCTCGAAAGAGTGCAGAGAAGAGCAACGAAGATGATAAGGAGTCTGGAGGCTAAGCCATATGATGAACAGTGAAGGGTACTAGGTATGCCTAGTTTAACGAAGAGAAGAACTAGGGGGTGATATGATGGCAGTCTTCTAGTACTTGAGGGGCTGCCACAAAGAAGAGGGCATCCTCTTATTCTCCAGAGCCCCTGAAGGCAGAAATAATGGATGGAAGCTTGTTAAAGAGACACCTAGAACTAGAACTAGAACTAGAACTAGAACTAGAGCAACCTAGAACTAAGGAGAACTTTCTTGATAGTGAGAACAATTGATCAGTGGAACGACTTGCTTCCAGAAGTTGTGGTGCGTCATCTCTGGAGGTTTTCAGAAAGAGACCTGATAGCCTTTTGTTTCTAGAATAATATAGGGCAGTGATGGCTAAACTTTTTGTTGTTGCGTGTCAAAAGCAGGGGGAGCGTGGGGGTGTGTGGTTGCGTGCGTGCGTGCCCACACCCATAATTCAATGTGCCCTGCCCCCCCTGTGCATGAGCACGTGAACCCCCCACTTTTGGCATGCGATTGCATGATGGGCCCAGTAGGTCTGTTTTTCGCCCTCCCCAGGCTCCAGGGTTTTTCTTGGAGCCTGGGGAGGGTGAAAACAGCCTCCCCCCACCGGAAGTCCTCTGGAGGCCAGAAATGGCCTGTTTCCCAACTTCCGGAAGGCCAAAAATGCGCACGCTGGAGCTGAGCTAGGCCAACGCTCGCTCACGTGCCCACCAATATGGCTTCGTGTGCCACCTGTGGCATGCGTGCCATAGGTTCACTATCACGGATATAAGGTCTTCTGCTTGAGCAGAGGGTTGGACTAGAAGACCTTCAAGGTCCCTTCCAAACCTTTTATGTACGTTACATGTCCATATTTCCGGAGACCTTCTCAGGATTAGGCAGGCAGGAGGACGAGGTTGGTACGCAAAGCCAAGCGAAGTGTAGGATTCCTGGGAAAAAACCTGCTTGAATGCTTCAGCATTTGGTAGAAGCCACAATAATGTCACACATATCATGGTGTTCTTTCACAAATGGTGCAAAAATATGTGTTTTGCACCATTAGTAGAGCATCGTTAGGTTCGTGAAGTTACTTTAGCCTCCATTCCTGTTGATGTAAGAGGACAATAATAAGAATGAAGAAAATGAGAATGGATGGATTAGATCAGTGATGGCTAACCTTTTTGCCGTCACGTGCCAAAAGCGGGGGGAGCGCAGGGGAGGTCAAATGTCTGCGTGCCCACACCCATAATTCAATGCGCCCAGCCCCCCATGCATGCGCACATGACCTACCCTGCATTCCCCCCACTTTTGGCACGCGATGGCATGGTGGGACCGGTAGGGCCATTTTTCGCCCTCCCTAGGCTCCAGAATCTTTCTAGGAGCCTGGGGAGGGCAAAAACAACCTCCCCCCCCCCCGGAGGCCCTCTGGAGGCCAGAAACGGCCCATTTCCCGACTTCCGGTGGGCCTGGAAGGCCTAAAAATCAGCTGGCCGGCGCGCGCATGCACCTAGAGCTGAGCTAGGGCAACGCTCGTGTGCCCACAGATATGGCTCCACGTGCCACCTGTGGCATGCATGCCATAGGTTCGCCATCATGGGATTAGACCCTGTATTTAACCTGATCTGTTAATCAATACATTTGGACAATATGTTAACTTGGTCACCATTAAATCATAGTTTTTTAGATCACTTGGTCGGATGGATTGTACAAATCCAGAAAATAATTTTATTCAGTCACCAGGGTCAGCTCAGCATATAAATAGAGCTCCGGTCAGCCTATGTGTCTATCATATGTTAATACAGCTAGTCCTCATTTAGTGACTGTTTTGTACAGTGACCTTTGCAATTACAACAGTCATGAAAAAAATAACTTTGCTACCCATCTCAGATTTATGATCTTTGCGAGTCTGTAAAGCGAAGGAAAGCTGAAGTAAGAGTTTGTAAGCACAGTCAGGATTTTACTCAGCAACCGCTTCGCTTAATGACCAAGTTGTAGTCCAGCAACTACGGTAAGCAGCTTTGGATCATTGTAGATAAAACCAGGCATAAATACTTAGATATTATCTAAACCAGGGGTCTTGGCAACTTTAAGCCTGGCGGACTTCAACTCCCAGAATTCCCCAGCCAGCTTTGCTTTGCTGGCTAGGGAATTCTGGGAGTTGAAGTCCGCCAGGCTTAAAGTTGCTAAGGTTGGAGACCCCTGATCTAAACCACATTTTCTTGATCGCTTATTAGGGATCAAGATCAAATGCCATAAATCTTTTGAGTTTTAAAAAATGACCTGCTCATGTTTTGAATATTTAAAGCGGTTTGGGTCTCTGGTGTAAAAATATGTGCGCTTTTGCGTTTTTGAAAACAGAATTTAAAAACTCCTCGTTAATGAGGCTTTCCCCCCCCCTCCTTTGTTTACAGGGACCTGGAACTGATGAAATCACATTGAGCAGAATTCTAGTATCCAGATCAGAAATCGATCTTCTGGATATTCGACAGGAATACAAGAACCTCTTCGGAGAGTCTCTGCATTCTGCTATTAGTGTGAGTACTTTCAGTTCATGTTTTCAGGGACTCTCTAAATTCCTAGGCGTAGGTCAGGGGTGAAATGCTCCCAGTTCGGACCGGATCGCCCGATCTGATAGCGATGGTGGCGGGTGTTATTCTTACCTTTTATTTGGCCCCACCCCCAATCCATTGCTGCCTCCTGAGTCCCAGCTGATGGCTAGAGGGAAAAAAACTGTTTAAACTCTTGCCGTGGGGCTTCAAAGGGCCACCCTACAGCTGATCAGTGTTAAAAGAAAACAAATGAGTAGACCGCTGCCTGCAAAAATAACTGGATAGACCAGTGCCTGCAAAAATACATGAGTAGATCAGTGCCTGCAAAAAATAAATGGATAGATCGGTACAGTTCTGCAAGCAGTTAAAAGCCTGGTAGACCAGTACCTCTGCTAAATCCTAAATAATTGTCACATGACCATCAAGCCACGCCCACAAAATAAGCCACGCCCACAGAACCGGTAGTAAAAAAATGTGGATTTCACCACTGCTTCAAAGTTATGACAGAAACACACACCCAAAGCCAAATATGACCCTGTTTCGAATTTACAACTGGTGCCGCCCGTCCGCCAACATTCACCCTTATGAGTGACCATAGGGGTGCTGTAGCACCCTGTCTTTCTACATCCACCCCCCATCCTGTTCCACAGGGTCCACGCAGGCTTGGGCCTACTCCCCACCCATGTGGCTGTCCTCCCAGAAGTGGCCACCATTTTCAGCACGCCCATAATTCCGTGCAGTCACACCGAAATGATGGCTGCCTCCGTGTCGCACAGGGACAAACCACTCCCTTCTGCTTCCCTAATGTGGCCTGCACCCCCTGATTTGTTAATCCACGTTACCGGGGAGACTAGCTTTGTGTGTTAGCGCCAATGAAGCTCGTTCACATGCTGTGAAAGCAGGTTGATTTCGCTAAGCTCTGGTTTGCTCCCGTGTTTAAAAATCCCAGGGAACAAAGCTCACGCGGCAAATGAAGCCGCGACGAAGCAAACTGCATTAGGGCTTAACGCGATAGGAGGGCTGCAAATGTGTTCAGCGGGCCTAGTTGGAACCGATCATTGCGGATGTCTCTCAAAATGAAAAAGGATTTTCTGAGTTCTGCATGGAGAGATTTTGTGATAGCGGTTGACAAATGATAAATTCTCTCTCCGTCTCTGTCTCTCTCTCTTTCTCCCTTCACTGCATGGGTGAATGTTCGGAGAATGATAAAACAAACAAACTGCTACAGATTTCAGAATTCCTGTTACACAGAAGGATTTTGTGATAGCTTTTCCACAACGCTGTGTGCTATGGAGTTGTGTAAGGCAGACACAAAGTTAGTGTCAGTAGGGACAGAGAAAGTTAGTGTCAGTAGGTGTTCTGCCCCAGCTACAAACCCAAAGAACACAGCATACACAAAGTCTGTACAAACCTTAGTTTACTAAATTAAATCAGTCTTTTTCAAACAAAGGCCGTTAATTAACTTTCTTAACAGCCTACAAGAATCCAAAGAATAAATAATCGTAATCTTACTATGGTTGGCAGAAAGCCCAGAAGCAATTTGCAGGAAACTGATAAGAGAACAAAGATCAGGACGCGAAGGAGAGTGAACGAAGTGGTTCCCTGCAAATTGCCTCAGTCGTCGTCCTTCCTTAAATAGGCTAAGGGAGTGGCCAATTAGCCCCAAGCCTTACTCTCAAGGAGACCTCCTCCTGAGGAGCCATTCCTGCCTTTTGCCTGCGCGCCCGTGCATCGAGAAGAGACTCCTCCTCTTCTTCCTCTTCACTTATGGAAGCTTCTGGAGGTTCTGAAGGCCCTGGCTAAATCCCCGCCTCTGGCACCACATCTTCTCCAGCCTCCTCATTGTCCGTCTTGAGTGCCAGCTGCACAGGCTGCTGGCGCAGCACCACACCAGCCTCCTCGCTGTCGGAATCAGCTACCAGCTGCACAGGCCGCTGACAGGCCACAACAGTAGGGACAGAGAGAGCACAAAAATATTTGGGAGCACTTCTGAAATATTGATTTGGGTTAGCCACCGATGTAATTTCAGGCGGCTTCTGTTTTCACCCCTGTGACTGGTATTCTTAGGAAACAGGTTCAACCCTCGGTAGGTTTGAAAATTTCATTGAAATTGGACAGGTGCTCCATGGATCGATGCTTGTTCCAAATTGGAAATCAAATTTTAAATAACCAGAGGGAGGCGAGGTGGTGGTGGAAACAAGCAACCTAAAACTACTAAAATAAAAACCGGAGTGCTTTTAAGAAGTCTGCAATAAATCCCCATCTCAAAGGCGAGGAAAATGAGGCTTGTCTGTGTAATTGTGGAAGTGGGCTGTAAGCGATTTGAAAATAATATTACTCTTCCTCTTTTTATTACAGTCAGATAGTTCTGGGGATTATCGACGCACCTTGCTCAAGATTTGCGGTGGGGACGACTGAGGAGGCCGACTCTGGATGACAGCTCTAGTTTCCCCGTTGCTTTCACCAGTTTATAGAGCTTTTTAGATATATTTAAGCAAGGGTGCGACTTGCCACTCCTCCTTTCAATTATTTTTTAATTAGGTATCATAATAGACAGATGTTTATCACACACAGTATCTTCAGGTACTGGATGACACTGATTTCATCATACACTGTGGATTTGGGGTGAAATCTGTACTCACAGGCCAATAATCTGCCAGAAGTTAACCGATCCTGCAAAATTGGAATCTGGATGCAGTTAAGATACAACACAGTGTTTTGTGCACGTCCAGAGACCGTCTAGGAACAATTGTGCAATTGTGTCTTCAACTTGGCTTTTCTTGTGCTATTCTTGAACTGCTCTTGCGTTGTTTTTGCTGTCCAGCTTTACAAAAGGGGTTCCTGTATCTTGCATGCAACGCACAGCTACCTCAAATGATTTATTTGTATTCCAGATCTGAAGTGCCTTAGGAACGGAGATGTAAAGCACACATGGTTGTTTAGAAATAACTTGGAAAAGCGCTATGGACCACACAGGAACATGAATCTAGAACCTGCCAACAACTCTTTAAAGCAGCTGCATTGATGTAGCTGCTTTAAAGCTGCAGTCCAGTTCTAGGTTTGTCTTCTCTGCAATCTCTGGAAAGACCTTTTGTGGAATCAAATCTCAAAAGAGACTTGCTAAAATAGCATCGACAGCCCATTTCTCTTACTCTTAGAACAGGGGTCTCTAACCTTGTGGACTTCAACTCCCAACATTCCTCAGCCAGCATGTCTAACTGAGGAATTCTGGGAGTTGAAGTCCACAAGTCTTAAAAGTTGCTATGGTTGGAACCCCCAGCCTTAGAGGACCCAAAATTAAACTCTTAAAAATTTGCCTTTTAAAACAAATAATAATGATAGCCAAAACCTTTCCAAAGACGGTAGAATAGGCATGATATCAGTGCTAATATTGCCAAATTTCAGCCATGTTTGCCATGTTATTTTATTGAAACCATAACGTAAAGAAGTTGTGATGATGGCCAACACTTGAAAAAGACGCTAACCCATGATACACTTGATATGAACACAAAGCACATGTTCGTGCTGAAGATAAGCCATTGATGCCCTCGTTTTGGCTGTATAGAGGAGGTCCTAGTTTTGGTCTAGGGCAGGGATGTCAAACTCGATTTCATTGAGGGCCACATCAGGATTATGTTTCGCCTTGGGGGGCTGGAGTGGGCGAGGCCAGGATGGGCATGACCAGTTCGATGTCAGGGGCGCCTGTGGTTGCCCGAGGGCTCGCCCAATGAAAACGGTCTCCCAAGCTCTGTTTTCAGCTGTGGCAGCTTCCTGCAACCCTCTGCCAGCGAAAACGGAGCTCGGGAGTGCCTCCTGCGGCCCTTGCAAGCTCCGTTTTAGGCTGTGATGGCCTCCTGCAACCCTCTGCCAGCGAACACGGATTTCGGGCATGCCTCTCGTGTTGGGGGCGCCTGTGGTTGCCCAAGGACTTGCCCAATGAAAAAGGTCTCCCAAGCTCTGTTTTCAGCTGCGGCAGCTTCCTGCAACCCTCTGCCAGCGAAAACGGAGCTCGGGAGTGCCTCCCGTGGCCCTTGCAAGTTCCGTTTTCAGTTGTGCTAGCTTCCTGCAACCCTCTGCCAGTGAAAACGGAGCTCGGGAGTGCCTCCCGCGGCCCTTGCAAGCTCCGTTTTAGGCTGCGATGGCCTCCTGCAACCCTCTGCCAGCGAACACGGATTTTGGGAGTGCCTCTCATGTTGGGGGCGCCTGTGGTTGCCCGAGGGCTCGCCCAATGAAAACGGTCTCCCAAGCTCTGTTTTCAGCTGTGGCAGCTTCCTGCAACCCTCTGCCAGTGAAAACGGAGCTCGGGAGTGCCTCCCGTGGCCCTTGCAAGCTCCGTTTTAGGCTGCGATGGCCTCCTGCAACCCTCTGACTGCGAAAACGGAGCTCGGGAGGGCTGCAAGCAGCCCTCCTGAGATCCGTTCTCTGGCAGAGACACTGCGAGCCAGTCCTGGTTTCCAGGGCGGCCCCATGGGCCGGATCCAGCCCCCAGGTCTTGAGTTTGTCTTGGCGCCCCTGGTCTATGGGATCTCTGGGTTAAATTAATGCGGTGTTGAAAGTTGCTTGGGTTGAATTGTTCTTCCCTTTTAGAGGTGTCTGTTAATTGCTATCTTATTCTCGGAACGTTTGAGGATTTCTCTTGGTTGCTTTGAACTGACTCGGTTGTGGGAAGCAGCAAACGATGGGCTGCAGGTGATGTGGCTTTCACTGACTCATCTTTTTATCACTCTGACAACTCCCTTGGCAAGCTGTCCTTTCTACCGGGGCAGGCCAGCCGATGGGGTTTTTCTCATGACATCCTTTCCTGGGATTGAACAAGAGAGTGAGGAGACAGCCTGGCTGCAGACTGCAGGGAAGATAAAGGCTGCAATGGAGACAGCCCACGCCTCCCTTTGATCATCAAAACGAGCACAATCTGCTGACCACGGGAAAGGCCTCTCGGATTCTTCTTTGAAATGAAATGTGAAAGCAAATCTTGTGGCCCGGAATGGAATAAAAACTAGTAGAAGCAAGCGCAGGAGAACGTATTTTTCGATCCTCGGCTTACAACCACAGCTGACCCAAAATTTCTGTTGCTAAGCGAGACATTTCATTGGATGGAAACTAATCAAGAAAAGAACCAATCTAGAACTAAGGGGAAATTTCTTGATAGCGAGGACAATTAATCAGTGGAACGACTTGCCTCCAGAAATTGTGGGTGCTCCAACACTGGAAGTTTTTAAGAAGAGATTGGGCAGCCATTTGTCCAGAATGGTATAGGGCCGTGATGGCGAACCTATGGCACGCGTGCCACAGGTGGCATGCCAAGCCATATTGGTGGGCACACGAGCATTGCCTTAGCTCAGCTCCAGCACGCATGCGCTTTGGGTCTTCTGGGCCCACCGGAAGTGTTTTCCGGCCTCCGGAGTGGTGGGGAAGGCTGTTTTTGCCCTCCCCAGACTCCTAGAAAGCCTCTGGAGCCTGGGGAGGGCAAAAAACGGGCCTACCGGGCCCACTGTGCCATCACATGCGTGGTGGGGGTAGGGCACATAGAATTATGGGTGCGGGCATGTGCCCGTGTGACCACCCCGCACTCCCCCAGCTTTTGGCACGTGATGGCAAAAAGGTTAGCCATCACTGGTATAGGGTCTCCTGCTTATGCAGGGGGTTGGACTAGAAGACCTCCAAGGTCCCTTCCAACTCTGTTATTCTGTTTCTTAAGTGAGTTTTGTCCCATTTTGTGAACTTCTTGCCACAGTTATTAAGTGAATTGCTGTCATTCTTAATAACACAGTTGTTAAGTAAATCTGGCTTCCCCATTGACGTGGCTTGTCAAAAGGTCACAAAAAATGATCACATGAACTCGGGACACTGCAACCGTGATAAATACGAACCAGTTGCCAATCCCCCAAATTTTGATCACGTGACCATGGGGAGGCTGCAACGGTCGTGTGAAAAACCATCGTAAGTCACTTTTTTCAGTGCCGTTGTAACTTTGAACGGTCACTAAATGAATGGTATAGGACTACCTGTATAGAGACTCTTACTTGGAAAATGTGGGCAGGTATGGTCAGGTCAAAGAAAGATGAAGAAATGAGGGGGCTGCCTTCTTTGCATGATTGTGCACAGATCTGTGCATCCCTCCACAGAGGAACAAGGTCTGTTGCTCATTCCTTCCAATCTTAATAATGACTAGCAGAAGATCCACGGTCATAAATGGAGCAGCTTCTCAGGCAGGAGAACACCGCTAATTCCTGTGCTTCACATCTATGGCATATATGGGAAGTACAGGTAGTCCTTGATTTACAACCTTAATCAGAATACAACTGGAAGGGACCTAACTTAGGAAAAGGGTTGTATGTACTGTAGCTATGGGGAGGTCCATTGCAACTCTAAAGGGTTTCTAACTGAGGACTACCTATAAGGTTAACAGAATAACAAGAGTTGGAAGGGACCTTGCAGGTCATCTAGTCCAACCCCCCACCCAAGAAAGAGACCCTACACACCATTTCTGACAAATGGCAGTCTAATTTCTTCTTGAAAGCCTCCAGTGATGAAGCTCCCACAACTCCTGAAGGCAACTTCTGTTCCATTGTTTGATTGTTCCCACTGTCAGAAAATTCCTCCTTATTTCTAGGTTGAATCTCTCCTTGATCACTTTCCATCCATGATTCCTTGTCTGGCCTTCAGGTTCACCAAGGCCATGTGGAAGGTTCCTTACTCTCCATAAAACTCCCGGTTTGCAATTGCTTTTGTCATAAACGAAACCCAACCAAAAGTTTCAGGACCACAAATTTAGAGTTTTGCAGAAGCTTATTACTTATACCTACTCATTTTGAAGAATTTGGGGCAGACAGTCTGTTCATTAGATAAATCTTATACAGGGAGTCTTCCACTTACACCCATTCGTTTAATGACTGTTCAAAGTTACTACGGCACTGGAAAAAAAGTGACTTATGCCCAGTTCTCATACTTACGACTGTGGCAGCATCCTCAGAGTCACGTGATCAAAATTGGGGGGGCTTGGCAACCTGCAGGCCTTCGTAATGGTTGCCACATCCTGAGGTCCTGAAATTATCATTCGCAAACTTCCTTAGGGAGCTTCTGAAAAGCAAAGTCAACGGAAGGATGCCAGATTGGCTTAACGACCTCGTGGTTCGCTTAATAACCGTGGCAGGTCATAAAGTGGACTTTACAACTGCTTGGTTTAGCAATGGAAATTCGGGGCTCGGTTGTGTTCCTAAGTCGAGGGCTTCCTGGACACGTTTCTGGTAATTCCTGCCTCTCCGCCTCCTTCTGGAAAGCACCACCGCTAAATTCTTCTTCCTCATCCTCTCCCGGAAACGTGAAAAGAGAAGAAATTGCAGCTGGTTCAGCTAAACTTCTCTTTTTTTCTCCCCCCGGATTAAAAAAAATTTGCATTTTCTTGCTTCTTGTAGTTGCAGCAGCTGGGTTAGAATTGTGAATGCCAAGCACAGACATAAGAAGGTCTTTTCTTACAATTTCACAAAGTCCTGTTTTACCTTTTTAAATATATAGTTGTTGGTTTGTTTGTTTTTTCTTGCTTTCCGACTTCCCTGAAATGGGTCACTTCGGCAGCAAAGGGATTCCTCCCCCCCCCCCCGTCCCACTTGCTGCTAATATAAAATGAATTTATTTTGGGAGGGAATTTCTTCTTTTTCTGTATAATACCAGAAGGTGGCAGCATGCATACATAAAGTAGAGGATCAAAGTTGTTTTGTTTCCGTTATTTCTGGTTTGAGAGGGGAGCTTGTGTTAGTTCGCGGTAGCCAAAAACCAGAAAGAAATCTGGTTTGGGGATTCGCCTTTGGATCAAATGTGTTGGTCTTAAAAAAAAAAAAATGCCACCAGGCTTATTTTGATAGAATATTTGCAGCTCAGGGCTGACGTGGGGGCCTTAGTGTTCTCTGAGCGTTTTATTACCCAACTAGGTAACATCATCAAGTGCTCTGTCCTAAGGATTATTTTGATTTTCGGTTCAGAAGGGGTGCTTTCGTTTGAGAAACATGCTCCCCTCACCCGGTGTCTGAAAATAATAGTAATTTATTAATTTAGATTTATTTATTTATTTATTGGTTCGATTTATATGCTGCCCTTTCTCTGGAAACTCAGGGCGGCTTACAATGCGTTAAGCAACAGCCTTCATACTTTTGTATATACCTGCTTAGTAGGGCTTTCGGCCCCCCCTAAGCGGTGCTCTTTTTTATACAAAGTCAGCTTATTGCCCCCACAATCCGGGTCCTCATTTTACCTACCTCGGAAGGATGGAAGGCTGAGTCAACCTTGAGCCTGGTGAGATTCGAACTCGCAATAATTGCAGGCAGCTGGTGTTACTTAACAGTGCTTTAGTCTGCTGCACCACCAAGGCTAGATGCTGCCCAGCTCCCACCAACTCTGGGTGGCTTGCAATAACTAAAACATTAGGGGGGAAAAACATGCAAAAGTAACAGGACAGAAAAACGATGATGCCAAGGTAAATATATGGATAAAGTCATAGAGGTTTCTGCAAGGTCAAAAAAAAATCAACACAACAACCACAATCATACAATAGGAACTCCTTGTTTTTGGATGTGATGCTAATAAAACTGCAGAGCTTCCATTGCAGCACCATGGCCACCCTTGTGCCTGTTTTTTTTAAACCATAACTCTGAGAGCAGTGGTGGGATTCAAATAATTTAGCAACCGGTTCTCTGCCCTAATGACCAGCTGGGTAGGCGTGGCTCGGTGGTCATGTGACCGTGTGGGCGTAGCCAACGCAACGTCACTCACGTCGATAGGCGCTTCGCCTTAGCTGTTACAATGTAATAAGGGTTAACCGGAGAGGCAGTTTCTGTAAGCAGGGCAATAAAGATTAGGCTAGAAACACCACCAGAATGTTTCCTTCCTGCCTTCCTTACAGGATTAGCCCTGTAAAGTGGGGGAAAAAACAAAATAAGATCTCTTCTCCGAACTGCTTAGAAAGTTAACAACCGGTTCTCCCAAATAGGTGCGAACTGGCTGAATCCCACCACTCTCAGAGAGGGATCTTGGAGTCTTAGTGGACAGCCAGTTAAATATGAGCCAGGAATGTGTGGCAGCAGCCAAAAAAGCCAATGCAATCCTAAACTGTGTTAACGGAGGGATACAATCAAGATCAAGGGAGGTACTAATACCGCTCTATAAAGCCTTAGTAAGACCACCCCTAGAGTACTGCATCCAGTTTTGGTCACCACACTAAAGAAAAGATGTTGAGACTCTAGAACCATGATTTATTATTTATTATTTATTTATTAATTTTATTTCTATACTGCCCTTCTCCCGAAGGACTCAGGGCAGTGTACAGCCTGATTAAAAGCACAAAGACAGACAAAATTTAAAAATAATTAAAATTATTAAATGATAGGCTCAACTTAAAACCCCAAATTTAAAATCCCATTTTTAAAAACCAATTAAAATCTTTACCTTAATAGCCCAGCCTGGCGGAACAACAAGTTTTTGAGGGCACAGCGAAATACACAGAGATCAGAGATTTTACGAATTTCTGGGGGCAGTTCATTCCAAAGGGCAGGGGCTCCCACAGAGAAGGCCCTCCCCCTGGGTGTCGCCGGCCGACATAATTTGGCCAATGGCACCCTGAGGAGACCCTCTCTGTGGGAGCGGACTGGCCGGTGGGAGGCTACTGGTGGCAGAAGACGGTCTCGAAGGTATCCAGGTCCAATGCCATGGAGCACTTTAAAGGTGGTAACCAACACCTTGAATCGCACCCGGAAGACCACTGGGAGCCAGTGCAGCTCGCGCAGGAGGGGTGTCACGTGGGCACAGCGAATTGCACCCATAACCACCCGCGTGGCCGCATTCTGGACCAGTTGGAGCCTCTGGGTGCTTTTCAAGGGGAGCCCCATGTAGAGAGCCTTGCAGTAGTCCAGTCGGGAGGTGACAAGGGCGTGAGTGACTGTGCGCAAGGCGTCGCGATCCAGAAAGGGCTGCAACTGGCGGATCAGGCGAACCTGATAAAAAGCCCCCCTGGCCACAG